GATAGATAGATAGATAGATAGATAGATAGATAGATAGATAGATAGATTTAGCTCAGGAGAGAAGCCAATCATTTAACCTTAAAAGGAGCACAGTATTTGCACGTTATAATATCCTTTAGTATAGATTCAAAGAGCAACTAAAGGGAGGAGTTTTAAAGTCTCTCACAGTGAAAATCCCTCAAGCATTACCGAAAGGGCAACGACTCAGTGAAAGCCAAGACAGTCTACAAGATGTCAGAGGCTGTGCATGTGGGTGTCAGCAAAAATGTGCCTAATTACTTCAATTACCACAAATAAGGAGAAACTAGAGGACAGTTATCTTGCCCTGATCTCACTGGGACAACACGTCGGAAGCGCAAGGAAGCAGTTCTTCAAACTTTTCACCATCTTTAATTAAATCAAATAACACAACCACCAAAAGCAGTGCAGAAATGATAGGAGCCAAAGGTTAATGTTCTTGTTTCTCAAAGAAACAAATATACCTAAAGAGAAAAAATAATCTAGCAGTTTTGCACAATCATTTTCCTTATTTGAAAAATACGAAAACTGCTAGCCAAAAACAAAACATAGAGGGGGGAGCAGAGCTTTTGTTAAGACTCACCCTGGACCTGATCCCACTTATAAATGCAATGATATTTTCCAACCCAACACAAGAGACCAACTTTAATAAGTGCACTCTCATTCGAATAGGTAAACGTAAAAGAAACAGGGTTTAAACGTAACACGTTAGTCTTGTTGATTTGATTTGATCTGTGCAAACAGAGGAAAGAGGTGGAGTCAGGGAAAACCAGCCCACTGCACAGCTGGGGCAAACGAACCGGAAGCCTGAAACCTGCAACTGCACAGTCTCACCATACTAAAAATTAACAACGCTGGCTGTAACATGCTCCTATAAAGCAATGTAATTAATAGAAATAGAAAATAACTGATGCTGCATTTATACAGTATGCAGGTCTGAGTCGGTCAAGCTTGTTTAAAATAGCAATAAGAGCATATCATTTTCATTGTATGTGCAGATTCAGAAGACCTGAAGAAGTTGCTAGTGCTAAAATATTACATTTGAGCAATCATCAAATCACCATCACATTATTTTTACCCTTTACATCCAGTTGCCCCTGTGGCATATGCAGATTATTTTACATTAATAACTGGCCTTACCATCCAATATAATAATATAGGGTGGGGAGTGGGGGACAGTGATGAAGGTTCCCTTGTGTTGGAAAGGTTTATTCTCTAAAGTATAAGCCAAATTAGACCCTATTAAAGTAGAAATATAATTGCCTTTGGACAGACAATAAAAGAGGGGATGGGATTCCTCCATTAGTCATGCAAAATATTAAAGGTTTCTGCATTCCAAAAATACTTCATAGCATCAGTAGGGCATTTCCATTATCACTAGCTCTTACCCACTTTGCACACATTGTGGACAAATTATGAAATATTGGGAAACTCAGCATTGGCTATTCCAAATTTCAGCTTTGGTAAAACCTTTGTCTTTGTCTTCTATCTTTGCTTTTTCTTCTGTTTTGCCATCATCTTATTCTCATCTGCTGTTTCCACAATATCTGTCCATTCTCGCCTCCTCCCTTACCTGCCTCCCCCCCGCCCCACTCTACATCCCACCACTCCCCCATCAACTCTCTGAAGAGTGCCTCAAAAAGCAGTGAGAACTTCATTAGATCTAAAAATAAGCACGTCCCTTCCTTTGAGCTCCTGCCGTGTTGCATCCCCCCAAGGCTGCTCCGTGTTATTGATGGGCCATGTCTGGGGTCCATGTGCCCACGGAGCTCACACACGCCTTCCAAAAGGACTCTCACAAGCAGTTATCATTTCCGCGTTCCGCTTCGTTGTAGTCTGTAACTCCTCCCACCTGTAACTACAGTAAAAACGCACTTAAAAACGCACGCTGGAAGCAGGGACGTGAATTCACACCTGTAGAAATGGGCTACAGCAAATTTAAGTTTTTGTACCCAACGTCCTCTTAGAAATTGCACTTTTTGTTGTAGAAAGTGTGAACACAAGAAGACAATTTCAGCAGTTACGTAAGGGTGAATTAACAGAACACAAAGGCAAATTCACAGTAATTGTCCTGCTTTTCCCCCAATTCTTCCTTTTTTTCTTTATGTTTAAGCAAACTGCACAGTTTGAGCGGAAATTGTATACTCTTGCTGTTGCATATGCATGTTTTCAAATTCAGGACGTACTGTTTCGTACCTCATCAAGCATAATGACTGACTCAGTCGTCGAGAGTTAACCCCCGGGGGGTAAAGGATTGTAGGCTGGTGTGTGCTGACTTTTTTTTGTATGCGTGAATGTTTACAGAGCGGTGGCGCGGCAGGGTGAAAACAGGACCTCCTTTGAGCAAGGCCCGTCTGCGGAGCAGCACTGTGCTCTACCACATCTCTGGTCACCTCCACAGCCGGGAGAAGAGCAAGATAAAACTCAACAAGGTATCAGCACTCTCTACAAACTGTAGGGAAAGATGTGACATGATTATTACGATGTGGAGGAGGATGGCTGGAAAAATGGAAAGAGATTCATATTTATACATAAAATGTATATATATATATATATATATATATATATATATACTTACTGACTTTGTTTTAAGAGTACCAGTGAAAACAGTATGTCCATGTACATATACAGTGCATTTATATATATATATATATATATATATATATATATATATATATATATATGTATATGAATCACATTTAAAAAAAAGCATAGATAGCACAACCTGTGTTTTCTCTCATTTTGCCCAGAACGTGTTTGGGACCCTTCCCGCTCTGCCAGAATACAAGGTAGCAGATGCCAAGAAGTCCAAATTCATCCTCCTTCACTACAGCACGTTCAAGGCAGGCTGGGACTGGCTGATTCTGCTGGCGACGTTCTACGTGGCCGTGACGGTGCCCTATAACGTGTGCTTCATCGGCGATAACTATGACCTGACCCGCAGCACCACCGTGAGCGACATTGGAGTAGAGATACTCTTCATAATAGGTTGGTTTTTTTTTTAAATCCGAACCAGTGAATGGTGTCAGTAGCACAGTCTGAATGATTGATATAACAAAAACCTCCCGTTTGTCTGTTGTTGCCAGACATCAGTTTTAATTTCCGCACCACGTACGTCAGCAAGTCGGGCCAGGTGATCTTTGACGCCCGACAGATATGCATCCATTACCTGACCACCTGGTTCATCATCGACCTGGTGGCTGCGCTGCCGTTCGACCTGCTGTATGCCGTCAAAGTCAGCGTGGTGAGTGGCCAGCCGATGGTTACTAAAACCCTCAAATACCATTCGGTCACTGTCCAAACGTCCAGGCAAACATTTCACACATTACACATGAAACAAGAAAGAGAAAAAGGAGGTAAGGCTCAAAAAAGAAACGTAAGCTGTGGAAATATCTTGCCGTAATTTTCACTCGGCAGTGCTGTTTAACTAACGGCAGACTCATAAGAGTGTTTTCCTTGTAAAGATCAGCAGCATTTAATAAGAGCGATCAGCTGGGCTGTGTCCAAAGCTGCCCCGGTGCCTCTTTAATTCGGCATATTGATTCCACATTCTGCACCAGCAGAGACAACACGGTCACAGGGACATCATTAAAACTTCTGCTTTCTTTCCTGCCCGAATCAAACACATCGCCCCTTAAGAGTAGTTTACTGAGGGAAGAAAACACAGATCTAGAGCAATTAAGAAGCCTGGATGAATGATCTCAGCCAATAGATACTTTGGATTACAGGGAGTTTTTGATTGATTGTTTGTAAAAAAAAAAAAAAAAAGAAAGAAGTAGCCATCTTCTCCCAAAAGATGTTCTCAGTGTGCTGCAGGCTGCTCCCTACTGTAGTGTGAATTAAAAGAGCACGCAAGCATGCAGTCTTGTAATGTTAGATATAAAAAGAAATACTGTTCCAACACCTCTGCATCCCAAAGAAAATATGTCAAGTGTACATGAAAAAAGATGCAAGGATTTTCTAATCATTTGAACACTTTATCTTGCTCAAATATATTGAAATAGCATTAAAATACACTTGTGTATTTGATAATACCACAGCTTTGGAACATACTCTAATGGCTGATGTGCCTACTGTATACTGTAGTTCAGGCCTGTCATCCACAACAATCAGTGTATAGAGATGTGACATAGTGTTGATCAACTTAAATCCAATTTCAGAAAAGAAAAAGAGTCCTTTTCGCTTTCCAAACTGCAGCAAACATTATCCAAACTTTCAAAGGTCTGCATGTCATTGAAAGAATGGGTGATGCAACAAGAGATAAAAATGCCCCATTTTGTATATAAGTAGTTGCTGGGATTACGTTTTAGACACAATTTCTTGCTTCAAAAGATTCCTTTGTTATGTCGAATCGTTTTTTTTTAATCTATTTTCCATTAAATATAGCAAATGTTATTACATAGGCATCCCACTATTTCAGAAACATATTAAAGTATTTGAAAACCACCTTCAATCATTTATGCAAATCTTATTATGTTTTTCTGTTCTGTAAAGGATAAAAGATGCTTAAAGAAACATAATTTACAATCATAAGAACTTTCAGTTTCATATTCTTTCGGCTTTAGGAATAAAAAACGATTCTGAATTGAAAAAGTGTTTTTTGAATGGGAAAATTAAAACAATTGGTAAGAAAAAGAGGGTTATTAATAGGGCTGTCTAAATATTCCTGGAAAAGCATGCTGTGCTGTTTCTAAAAAAAAAAAAGGAGGAAGGTGGCAGCAGTGACAGGGTGCTCCAGGCAAAGATACCAGTTTGGTTTCAGACTCTATTAATGGAAATACCATGCATTCCCAGTGGATCTGGTTCTGGGTGTGGGGCTACTGGGCCATAAGATCCCCCACTGCTGCTGGGGAAGGCAGGAATGGCTAGTATAATTGCTCATCGTTTTGTGCGATGTCCCCTCTAAGGACAGAGCATTCAGAATATCCCCCTCGAGGACAGAAGCCATCTTTTACCAAAATGAGCCATAGGATCTCAATAGTGTCGTTCCCTCGTGTAATGCTGTCTTTTGCTTTTGTCATATGTCTCTGTCATGTCAGCTTTTACCCCCAAGTTTGGGATATGAATGTTTCCTTTGTGTTTTCCTTTTTGGTTAAAACTATTATTAATTTGCTAATCCTATTTCTTTTTAGTGTAATATGTATTCTGTATTTTCTATGATCAACTTGAACCACTCATGTTTTGGTTCAATGGGATTTAAACGTGAAAGCTCAGTAAGTGCTCCCATTTATCTCAAATTTGACCAGTATTTACAAAAAAGAAATAGGAAAAAAGCATTTACACATTATCAAATTAGACTTTTCCCTCATAGGCACTTCTGGAAACCGACTTAGCTTTTGTCTTTTATGCAGACCACATTTCAACAACAATTCTAATCTTAGAAAAATATCTCCACTTTGACCAAAGTCATGTCTCTTTCCTCACATTTCAATTTCCTGTGTGGTGTTCAACTATCTTTATTCATGTACATCATGTAGATTTAGATACAATAAACTGTCCTGTTCATTTATGCTTGAAATATTTTGTTTGACGCAACCTGATTTGCATTAGTCGTACAAAGAAGACATTACATTTCTGATTAAATCTTCCCTGGTTGCATCTCTTTGACACGCATGCCTTATTTGCATACTGGATAGCGGTATTATTTGTGCTTAGTGGCCCAGTACCGCTGTAGTATTAAAGGGGGCAAATCTTGTTGTTGGGACACACCTGAAGGCCTAAAGGCATGGCTGCAGGGGGAGCTATAATAAGCAATTCTGTAACGTCATAGTCTCCTGAACAAAAATGTCACCTCAGACGCAGACGGAAAAGATGTAATCAGGTAGCTAAATGTAAATTTCACACTTGATTACCAGAGGAAATGAAATTGTTAATAGCTGGCCTGAAATGGGAGCGACAGAGGGACGACTAAAAGGAGGAAGTGGCAGGAGGTGCGTGTGCTTTGTTGGGTGCACGGCGGGTATATTGCTTACTGTTCGTGCTGCTGGAGGAGAGCTGGAAGTGGCACAGCCTGCTCTCTCCATAGGTGGGATGAGGGCTGGTGATAGATGGTGGAGTAGAGATGGAGCTTCTCCCCAGGGCTCAGTAGGAGGCTTCATTACCCCTTGTGCTGTACACGTTCTTTATTTCTCTCAGCTAGGGTGTGCAGAAAGCTCCATAAAACATTGGCGCTGATATGGACTATCCACACATCTGCTACCTAAAGCTTTGTTGAAACACTGATTCCCCGCTTTCAAATTTAACACAAACACACTTTTTCTTGTGTCTTGTGGTAATAAAATATCGTTTATATGAATTATCTGCCCCAGTTTCCCAGTTAGAATGCTGGGAAAAGGCTCCAGCCCCTGTGATGCTTTTTTAAATAAGTGAGTATAGAAAATGGAATTTTTTAATAGCTTCACACAGCATACATAAAATATGCCCCTTGATTCTTCATCGGTGAGCTAGTGTAACTATGCATATGTGCACATGTACGTCAGACTGACTTGCCTTTACGCACATGAAGTGACTGAAAAGCGAAGAGAATGAAATTAACCATTTAACCGGAATACTACGAAGTATGTTGAGGCTTAAAGTTAGAAGCCCAAGGAAACAAACACTCCTGCTAGGGAACGTCTGATTGCCCTAATTGGCATTTTTATTTTCAAGGGTCCTTAATCAGTAAATGATTCATATAGATCATCTATTTTTAGAGTTTTTCAAGCATTTGAGAAGTCTCTTATGTCAGGGAAGGCATGACACATGCTAAAGGTTTTTTGTCATTTCTATCATGTGATTGTGGCTTTGTCAAAAAAGTGTGTTTAATCCTGACTGTGATCCTTCTAGCTTTGTTTTCTTAACCTGATGATCATGATTTTCATTATTGTTATATGTGTTATTTACATGTAGCCTTGGCAACCGCCAATAGTTGCAAAAGAGAATGCATTCCAGACATTTTCTTCTTATTTCTTAATTAAATTAATGTTATTGGCCAAACACAACCAGGAGGTGATATGAGAACTTTGGTTCATTGTTGTTATGGTTCAGTTGGTCTTTAACCAGTGTGTCCAAAACAAATGGAAACCTCAGCCTGACCTCCGCACTAATCTCAAAACACTCATGTTATGGTTCTTTTATGTCACTTGAAACAAGATGTTATGAGTTATTAGTCATAATCACAGGTATGCACAACTGATTTGACAACTTTAGCAAGAGACTTTTTCCACACGTGAAAGGGTTGAATGGGAGGTGGAATGTACGGTGGAGGATGGGGATGTCTCTTTTAATTTTGCCCTGACATTGAGCCAAGTAATGTTAAAGAACTGTCAGTATTGTATAAAGTAGTGAACTGAGCTGGGATATGCAAATGAATAAGGATTGGTAACTGGCACTATCCTAGGCATATTCATTTTAACACCAGCAAATCCATCAGGAACCTACAAATTGCATAATGAATTACCAAGTTCTACTTATTATTCCTTAAAAAATATTATTAAAAAAAAATGGCTTCCATTTTTGTGGATTTACTTTAGTGATAAAATTTCTTCCATTTATTTTAGACCTGATATTAGTTGAATACATATTTCATGAGACTGGTTTTCAAAGAAATGGGAAAAAGAAAGCTGGCTGTGGGGACATTTCTGCTGCACTTTTACGGCTTTTGAAGATGTTCTTTGGTTTGCTGCTCTTCTCCCCCAGGTGGTGCATCTGTTAAAAACTGTGCGTCTGCTACGTTTGGTGAGTCTCCTCCAAAAGATGGACCGCTACTCACAGCACAGCACAGTGGTGCTGACCCTGCTCATGTCCATGTTTGCTCTTCTGGCCCACTGGCTGGCTTGCATCTGGTATATTATTGGCAAGATGGAGATTGAGGCCAGTGACGACAATTGGGAAATCGGTGAGTTGTAAAAAAATGATTCTATATCAGTTTATACCCCTAAACATGAAAACTCTTATAAAATCGTTTGGCTTTAAAACGTGTTTATAAAAAAGCTCAGTATGTGCTTCACCCTCATTCTTTTCAGCACAGAGGGAAAGTACATTCAAATGAACAGGACACAGTTGGTGCACAAATATAATTTATTTGCTGTTTCAAATGCCAGTTTATGGATTTGTTATCATGACTCTACTGACTCACAAAAAAAACATGAACATTTTTAGTATTTGCTGTGTTTCAAGAAAAATATAAATGGTTTATCGTTTCATCTGAAGAAAACATGATTTATTGCTACTGTGTGGACATAGTTCAAGATAAAAGAACCATATTGGATTTGTTAACACTGTTTTTTTCTCATTTGTCATGGTACACAGCAGATTTATCTCAATGATAGTTGTAATCTTGTTCAGTGTCTAGGATCTGATAGACACATCAAAACATAGATAATTTTGACAATTCAAAATCTTTTAAGTAGAATGAACTTTGAAAACCAAGGCTTTGAAGCCAAAAATATCAAGTTTGTTGTCAGTGGACTAAAGCACTATTACAACACTCCATCAATCAAAGTCAATTATACCTATATTACATCTGTAATGTTTTCATTGATTCATCTGTATAGACTGAATAGAAAAAATATTAAATCAACTTGACTTTTTCTCATGATTAAAGATGGGTCCCCATTACATTGCCCTGAACCCCTAGGTCAGTCATATAATGAGGCCCTTTGGGCTGATATATTTTCAGTAGTGATAAGCTAATTTACTTGGAATTCCTCCATATTGCATCTTCATAACTGTTTGCAGGACAGCATTGGCCATCTCATGAAAGCAATGCAGATTTGTCTTTGCAATTACTGCCACAGAGTGTCATAAAGTAGCGGGTCAGTTCATGTAGCCGGTTTTTGTGCATGGTATCCTAATTACTCGTCCCTGATGCTGAAGTGAGTGTTGAAGTCAAGCAGCCATGAGGTGCTCCCATCCAATTACCATTCATCAGTGTCAGCGGGAGACTCTCCTGGGACGAGCCGCGTGGCTCCAAGCCGCGTTGACCGGGACGAGCATGTTTCCCGAACACCTGCTGTGCTTCCAGAGCTGAATCTGCTCTGGGTCTAGTTTAGAAGAAGCTAAATAGAGTTTCTAAAGATACAGCTTCACTGCATAGATCCTCTCCAAAAAAAAAAGTTGATTAAGTTTTACTCTTAGCTGAGTAAGTTACTTAGCTTTAGTTGCTGTGATTCTTCCCTTCAGTCTAAAAATTCCTTTTCCTGTTCCCTTTTCGTTTTCACATCATCTCTAAAAACAGGATGGCTCCATGAGTTGGGGAAGCGTCTGGAGATGCCGTACTACACCTCAGGAAATGTTAACGGCACTGTCGGGGGCCCCGCCATCCGCAGCATCTACATCGCTTCGCTCTACTTTACCCTCAGCAGCCTCACCAGCGTGGGCTTTGGGAACGTGTGTGCCAACACGGACTCTGAGAAGATCTTCTCAGTTTGCATCATGCTCATAGGAGGTACTCTCGGATTAAGCGTAACAAGGATGTATGTCTAGAAAAACACTTTGTGGAAAGTGCTCTCTTGTTGTCTATGTTCTGTACTCAGACTTTGACTAGAGTGTCAGTTTTGAAATGCAAAAAAAGTCGTAGTAATAAGTAATAAGTAGATTTTGCCAGGATATTGCGATTTTTTAACTGTGTAGTTAAAGTACATTTGATTTGCAGAGTTGAAAAGAGGTCACAGTTTTAGGGTTTTCCCTCTGGTTTCCCTATACATTAAATGTCCCTGATTGGCTAAGGGATGCAGAAGTCATAAACACAACACATGTCCACATGCAAACACAAACACACACACACCTCTTGTGAGCTAGCACGTGATGACAGGTAGCACAAAGCACCTGTTCACCTTTACTTCAAAGTGCAGGACAAAATAAATGAGTTAAACCTATAAATAAATTACAGTTACATTAATATGAATTGGTAAAGCTGCTCTTTTTTCACTTCACTGTACAGGTCAAAATAAGTAACTGAGTGGTTAACATTCAATTTGATTGTAATTTATTTTGATTTTAGATATTATTGGATTGCTGAATTAACCATTAAAGCATGATTATATGAATAAAACATGATTCATTCTCAGAAGTGTGGGTAAAAACTACATTTCCTTTCATCCGGATGTGCTGCACTATTGATCACAGTCACAGTCGCCCTGTCGTGTCCGATGTTGTGCGACACAGCTGCCACCCTGCTGAAAACTGAACAAGATTAGGTGAATATATTATCCGTGGCCACAGCAAGTTTCCATCAAACCAATCAAATAAGATCCTGTCAGTCCTGACGCTGATGGTCCCATGTGGAAGGAGCAGAAGCTCAAGACATGAATAGAAACATGATATTTTTCTCATCTGTCTGTTGGATTTATCATAGACATTATGTGTAGGTCACCACACGTAAATGTTTACAAGCCCCGGATCATTTGTTCTATTATAACCAAAGTGATTATTTTCAAATAAGCAGAGTGGAGAAAGTGACAAAATGATTGCACCTTGGTGTTTCCGTCACTTGAATAAGTTGACAAGCGGTTATTGAAACACTGCCTGTTGGTTTCACTTCCTCCAATTTTGATCACTCAACATCACAATGAGACACACAAACATATTTTCCTGTCACCCCCACTGGGATAGAACTGCATCGGGAAGTTTTTCTTTTTTGGATCCTCGTTTTGAGAAAAAATCATCAGTTGAAGTTGTTTCCCTGCATGTCTTTTACCTGAATTAATACGTATGCTCCTTAATCTGTTTCCTGTTTAACTCTTCTCTTCTCTCCTCTCCTTCCTCTTATGTTCAGCCCTGATGTATGCCTTGGTTTTTGGAAATGTGACAGCCATCATCCAGAGGATGTATTCCCGCTGGTCCCAGTACCACACCAGGACTAAAGACCTCAAGGACTTCATCCGCATCCATCACCTGCCGCAGAGCCTCAAGCAGCGGGTGCTGGAATACTATCAGACAACTTGGTCGGTCAACAACGGCATTGACTGCAACGAGGTACTAAACAGGAACAGTCTGATTCTGTGGAAGGCGTGTGTTAAAGCTAAAAGAAAAGAAAGGGTAAACTTGTAGTTTCGAAAAACCAATGTAACACCACTGTGTTAGGCAGTGACTGAAGTATGATGAGTGAATATCGAATTCAAAGCCACATTTTTTTGTGCAATACCTGTTCATAAAATGGTTTACAAAGCGTGTCATCTCTTGTGTTAAATCTACTCAAACCTGTGAATAAAAACCCTTCAGATGTACGTTAGTGATTTGCAGTGGTAGCACAAAGAGCCAACGTGTAAAGAATTGTGTTCCTGTCCAAATATTTCTTGGCTAACCTAGCAGCACAGCATCCCTAGCAAGGGATCAATATTTCATTTGACATTTCACATCCCCCTTACTTCTCACATATAAGCCACATTTAAGCTGCTCATGAGTGTGATAATGGGATCGATGCTACATAATCTCTGTGCATCTGAGAGCACCTTGTTGCCCCCAGCAGAGCCTGACGGTGACAACAGTGCAAGATTTTCTAGCAAATATGGAAATTCAGTTGTGGATGTTCTTTAACCTTTTTGCCGAGTATTATATTCTAAAAATGTCATCTCAAACAAGTTTTCTATCATGGTTTAAGTCTGTTTAGACAGGTAAAATCCCAGCCTTAGATTTTTGAGTGAGATGGTGTTTCTGTTTGCTTAAAACAAGTGTAACGAGTGCAAAGTTGAGTTTGTCAATGCAGCAGTTGGACAGTTTAGGTGAAAAAGCAACAGAAATGCCGGATGAACAGAACCTTTCTCTGCCGAGCTCAGGAAAATCCTGTCAGTTCTCTGGTAGCAACCCGTCCCTCAAGTCTGTGCGTGCCTGTGAGACAGCTGTCAGAACCCAGACCAGGGGGCTGAGATGGAGTTATGATGATAAATCCCAGACAGATGAATTATAGATGGGCTTGTTGATTAAAGTCAGCCGGGCTCTGATGACTCATTGATCAACTCTACGTGACGGTGAGCTCCAGATTTTGTCCTGACGTGGAGATTGACAGATAGATGACGTGCGTTGTTGGGACTTTGTTTTTCACAACTGTGTACGGTGTAGCTTCCCATTTTCTATGCGTTTTGAAGGTGTTCACATTGTGTTCCTAGATCACGAATCCAAACGCAGTGTTGGTTGGAAATTTAATTATTGAGCCGCGGAATGATGTTTTCCCACCTTCTATGCTTCTTTCTCTTTTCCCCCTGTGGATTTCTCTCGTCTGCCACAGCTACTGAAAGGTTTTCCAGACGAGCTACGGTCCGACATCACCATGCATCTTAACAAGGAGATCCTGGAGCTGTCGTTGTTTGCCTCTGCCAGTCGTGGCTGCCTGCGCTCCCTGTCACTGCACATCAAGACCTCGTTCTGTGCCCCTGGAGAGTACCTCCTCCGACAGGGCGACGCACTGCAGGCCATCTTCTTCGTCTGCTCTGGGTCCATGGAAGTGCTGAAAGACGGCATGGTGTTAGCCATCCTGGGTACGCAAAAAGGGATTAATGACGGTTATGATGCATTTTATTTATAACTCACTTTTTCATTTTAAGAAAAAATATCTGGAAGTGCTACAGTCAGTGAACAAGGAACACAAAACAACATTGACATTAGAATTAGAATTAGAATTAGGAGGGAACATGGACACAGGACAGGAATCCCTAAGTTATTCTGACAAAGAAACCCCAAACACCATGTTTCATAAGAAAAATCTATGTTTTTCATTGTGTTAAAGCTGAGGACCGCGTGTGATCTAATTGTTTGGAAATGAAAAAAGGAGTATTCCACTGTGTCAAAGATGGGAGCTCCCATAAATTTCCATCTATTTCGATGTGTTTTTTCATATATATTTGTTTAACAACTAACAGTCCAAAAGGGTTTATTCAGCTTTGCATACAAATGAGGAAGTTTCTTTCTCAATTTCCCAAGCTTCTTGACATTTGCAGTATGTTTCATTGGTGCCTGAAAAAGTATTTGCTCATTAGATCAGTAAAGACGAGCGTAACAGACAAATGAGTGAAACAGATGAAAGGGTTACAGAATCTGGTATGTATTAAGCCAAGCAGCCCATGACTGTTCCCACACACTGAACCATGCGGGGTCAAAAGTGTTGACTCGTGCTGGTCTCAGCTAATTCGGTGCCATGGACTGGCAGCCTGTGGAGGTTGTGCCCTGCCCAGTGAGAGCGGGGTTAGGCTCCAGTTCTCTCACGATGCTGAACGAGGATTCCTAGCATTTAGAAAATATGGATAGATGGATATCTAATCAATACATATTTGAATACTAAATATTTAGTCAGATAAGCTGACATTAACAAAACAAAAGTCCCCAAAAACTACAATTTACTAGTAAAATAAAAAAAACTTTCAACAAAGAACAGTGTCTTGATGTATCCCTCTGTCTAGATCCTTTCTTTATAAAAAAAAAAAGTCATACAAATGCCTTTCATATGGATAGAAATCAGAAGTGTGTGATTTCAGGATGTAGTGAAAGCACCTCAGGCCCTCATGATCCAGATATACAGAGCAATCTGGCACAACTTAGTCTGAAATCCATCCATCAGTTTGTCATGCCGTTGATATTTAGTGTTTGTGTACACCCATGTGTGTCTATCTGGGGTCTCTGTCAGAACCTGCATGCATGTATTGGTGGTAGAAGAAGTGTGCATGTGTTTGGGCGTTAGTGGGAATCAAGTGGGTGGAATTGTTTATCGGTGCACAAAATGGTGTATGTCTGTGCGTGTGGGTGAGCATGTATGCGTGTGTGTTTATGTATGTGTGTGTGCGTTGTCGGGGGGGGGGGGGGCTGAAAGGCTTGGTGTATTGCTTGCTGACTGTGCAGGGGGTCAGACTGACATTAAGTATTTCACCGAAGACGAAAAAAGCATTTCAATCTCGGCCTGTTTTCCTTCGTGTCTCCATGCATTTGCCTTTTTGTTGTTGTTCCCTTCTTTCTGTGTCTGTAGCTGCAGAAGAGTACCAAAAAATAGGGAGGATAAGGACAGGACAGGCCAGAAATGAAATGAGGGCATGAAATGAGGAAAATGAGGGATAGTCAAAGAAAAATGACAGTGTAAAAGTACAAAAATGAAGACCAGAGAAACACTAGATAAGTAAATCTGATATGCACCGTTTGTTTAGAAGGGAAGGAAGAAAAAAATCTTATAAGGAAAGAGGAAGACATTTAGGAAGGTATGTAGAAAAGGGAGAGTAAAGGCAAGTAGGGAACACTTAAAGAAAGAACTAACAAACTTTTGATTGAGGAAGAAAAGACACAACAGCAAGGGAAATTAACAAAAAAGCTTTTGGAAAAAGAAATAATCCTCTGAAGCAAATAATAGAAAAGACTGGCAAGAGGGAAAATGAAGGGAAAGTGGAAAAATGAAAAGCGAAATAAAAAGATGTCGATGAAGTATGAGAAAGTGAAAGAAGGCAGGATCAGCAGATGGAAAACATGGACGAGGAAATAGAGAAAGACAATAATGAAGAAGATGAATCTGGGATTTAAAATATTACCTATTTGAGGGTAGGAGGAAAGCAGAAGGGTAGAATTATTTATTTTAGGGCAAATCATGGAAGAAAAAAAAAGAATTCCACTTTTAAAGTAGAAAAAATTAAATGAAATGAGCAAAAGCGAGAGAAAAAGAGCGAGCTGAGAGACAGTGACCGAGCAGGGACGCATAAAAGCAGTCACGACTTCCACTCTATCATCTGCAGTGTAATTTAGCCATGATCACAGTTCACAATGACTTTAATAAAAATTTTAGCTCTGCTTATGGGACATTAATACTAACGGGGTACTTAGCTTCAGCCTGTATTTACAGGAGCAGCTGTCACAGCCACTTCCGTCTAAAACGTCACATTTATTAGCAGGAAGAGGGAAGAGCTTCGTCCATGACACCCGCCGACGCACCAAAACATGTTATTCTGCTTGTAATGACTACCTTCCAAACACTTGTATAAATAGTTTATATCTGTTTTTGTCAGGTCTGTTTGTTTTCTGTGGTTATTCTGCTTTTCTGAGTCAGAGAATATAGATACCAATTTACAGAAAATGTAAATCGGCTATTTTTTGTAAATTATTTGTCTAGATATGGGACATTTTATGTCTTATTCTGATCATCCCTCTTACTTTATAGTAGTTTACATCTAATTTTAGTCATGTTGCATGTTTTTGTTTGTATTTCTTTAATATTGTGAACTATTTCTCTTCTGCGTCGCCAATTAGATTCATGGAGTTAGTTCTCTTTCTTATGATACAATATTTTGTGGGTAAACGTGATCCCTTTCAGTATGTCTTGAGGATATCCTCCACTGTTGTAAGACACAAATAAGGGGGCATACTTACCATCTTGCTGCACAGAAGAATAGATAGGTGGTCTTTATGGTGCCTCAATGTTCTTCTGCAGCAAAAGCTCTTCAACACCCTTCAACTTCAGTACTCCCTCAAAAACCCATCAAAAAATGGAAGATGTGAAACACAAGTGTCTGCATTAGGGAGCACAGAGTCTGCATCTTTAACCCCTTTAACCAGCCTTAAAAACTTGTGCAATGACCCCCTTCTCTGACCCACATCGTATATTTCTCTCTGAGCAGGTAAAGGTGACCTGATCGGAGCAAACCTGTCCTTAGACAACCGGGTGATAAAAACCAACGCGGATGTGAAAGCGCTGACCTACTGTGACCTGCAGTGTGTCAACCTGAAAGGGCTCTACGAGGTGTTGGACCTCTACCCTGAGTACTCTCAAAACTTCGTCCAGGACATCCAGCAGGACCTCACATACAACCTGAGGGAGGGACATGAGACGCATGTGAGTCTGTCTAAGAGATTCTTACGTCCTGAGTAGGTATTATGCAAAACTTCAGCAAAATGTGTTTATAAGAACTAATTTCTTGGTCGAAAATAGATAAGAAATAGTCTGAAAATTTGGAGTCCCATTTGGAAATATCATGGGATTATCACTCTTTAGGGTTTTATTCAGGTTTACAGAAGGTTATTTGTGTTTTCAACTCACATGGTGTATAGCACAAGCCTATACATGCATTTCCTATTAGTGATCCAACATAAGCACTAATGAGAACCCAGGTGGTTTACCCCAGTCCCCAGTAAAGATGCCCATTTTGTAACTATTCTCATCTGGTTCCAGTGGACCTAAGCATGATCTATGCTGTCAATCAACTCATTACCTCATACACACATATTTATCCGTGATGGCAAAAATAGATAAAGAAACAACACCTCTGCTGGGATATTCTATGGTGTAAGATTTCATAGTAAAATCTCAGCAATGTTAAATTCTGGTTTAAAAAGTTCCATAATCCTGATGAGCTGTTATGCTTTCGACTAAATTAAAGAAGCAAGTGTTTGCATAACCCTTAGGGAAACATAGCAGTTAATCTGTATTTGCCTCAATACAATGAGTCTTCGTACTCTGACAGTAGCCTACAAAAGTGGCTGAGTTTTAAAAAAAAAACAGGAAGGAAATTGGCGGGTGGGGGGGCGATACACAAGTAATTGACTTTTGATGTGGCGTAAATAGATGATAAAAAAAGGCTCTAAGATACAGAAAGTGTATTTTAACCAGTTCTTATGAGGCAAATAGCCTCTTTACTTAGGTTGGAATTGAGGTGTGAGTCAAATTTAGACCATTTCATTCGGTCCACAACAGAGGAGGGCCGGGGCATCGTCTGGATAAAAGATAGCCTCACAAGTGTGTGTCTGTGTGTATTTTAGCAAGGCAGAGAGCAAAAATAACTAAACAACTTGGAAAGACTATGCTGTAATTAGTTTGGTGTTGCTTCCTGACTTACACAAACACCACAGGCCATCTCACACACACACACACACACACACACACACACACACACTGGCCTCAGGGCTGTCAGATGAGGGGAATGTGCAGAGAGGCAGCCTAAATCTCAGGGCTGGCTGAAGTTTAAATGAGGAGCGGTGAAGGCAGCTGAGGATGGAAAGGTGTTTGGACTGAGATATTAAGTTAGCTCATCCGCTATCACTGTGCTCTATAAAAGCACACCTTGATAGTACCAATATATCAGGGTGAATCATTTCCAATTTTTGCCTCATCATAAGCAGTGAGATTATTCACTATATCTGTGATCTTACTTTTTTAAAAATGTACCCATAGAGCCTTGTGAAATTTCTCCTTTGTAAAATTATTTTTCAATTATTTAGTTTATTATACTGTATAATAATAATAATAATAATAATAATAATAATAATAATAATAATAATAATAATAAGAATAATAAGAATGGTAATAATTATTATAATTATTATTATGCTGTATAATAATAATAATTATTATTATTATAATTGTTATAATTATTATTATTATTATTATTATTATTATTATTATTATTATTATTATTATTATCATTATTATTGTGTTTATTGTCTTACTCAGGACATGTGAGACTTACCAGTAGAGGTCATTAACTAAGTTTTCTTGAAGTAGAGCCATGATTAAGATGATTCACATTTTAATAAAGGGATGTTAAATTAACTATGACAAGCCTCTGCTTTTATCAGTCCCTTTTTATCTCCAAAGGCTTTCTGTGTATTGAGAGTTCAAGATTGTCTTTAAAGTTGTTCAGAAATCACAGGGGATTGATATGAGATTACCTTTTTTTCCCAGGCAGTAGTGAGGAGGAATGGGCGGGTGGTTCAGGGTCAGCTGCCTCTGATTGAGACACAGGATGAACAAGAGGGCCGCGCGGTGGAAGAGGAGCATGTGGCCGTGACCATGGTGTCGGATCAGAACCGAACAGCGGACCTGAGGGACGCCGGTGGGAAATCTCCAACGTGCCAGCCGAGCCACAAGACCACAACACAAAACTCCAGCAGGTCTCAGAGGAAGGGTCAGGAAATCGGCCTGACCACTTTGGACCCTTTAAACCTGAGCCCCAGGTGAGGGAGTCACCATGGATTTCTTTATGCGTCTGCACAGGCTCGGGAGAAGCTGAGAATCCATCTGTTTTCAGCAGTTTTTGAATCTTTAATATCAAAACTGACAAACGTTACAACATAGTGTTTACCATTACTGTACAGTTGAATAAAGGTGAGTTGTGTTTTTTAATTAAATGTGGTTCAGTAAGCTAATTCTAAACATGTAGGGAGAGTGAATCCTCAAGGAGAAGCAGCTTAAAATGTCCAAACTAACATTTATTTATTTTTTTAATTTCTGCACATATTAGAAAAATGAGTAAAAGAAACCAAACGAAAAGAGTAATAATGAACTTTAAGAGATTTTTCAGAATTTTTCTCACTCTGGTTCAGAATAATTGCACAACATATGGTTATAATGAAAGAAAAGCAAAACAGCCCGAGAAGATTATGTTGCTGCCAGCATTCAAAAGTTGGAAGCTTCACTATTATTCCTGGATATGCTTCCTGCTGTAAACAGCTCAGAACTCACGCTCACCACTTCCTATAACATACAGACTTCTTCTGTTCACTACCTTCTTTAATTTCTCATTTTTCTGTGAAGCAACTCTAGCAAATCAGATGGTCATTATCACCTCCTTGTCGCCCCAAAAAAGTTTCAAAGTTCCAGTTTGAAACACTGGATAATAGGCATGAGTGTGTTGTCAGTTGATGAATGTTATGAAGCATATTACCCATTTACTTATCCAAAAACATTTGTGTCTCCGCAGGATAGTGGATGGTACTGAAGACAGTGACAGGACAGAAAGCTCGCTGACCTTTTCCTATTCTACCAGCCGAGGGTGTCCTGTCAGCGCACCGACCAGTTCCTCAGCATCCACCACAGGTGCTCTCATTTCCAAGTTTTCTCAAACATTTAGCACTCCCCGGTGAAAAATGTTCACGTTCTAAACCCCGCGGTACTTCAGAGTAATGAGGCTGATTAACGCACCTGAGTGCCCACAGTATTTCTCATCAGTCTTCATGCCGTCGGTAACTTTTGGGTGGAACTTTGCACTCAGTCGATGGAGCTTGAAGTGACTTATAACGTGCTCATTTGTCATAGATATGCTGCACATCAGCACAGCGGAGTTAGCAGCTAAAGCAGAGGAGACCAGGGGACAACTGAGACACCTTGACCAGCAGGTGGGATTACGTCTGGGTGTGTTATATAGTATGTATGTATGTATGTGTGTGTGTGTGTCATGTCTGCATTTCCCATAATGTCAATCATGGAAGTTATTTAAAACCAAAGAAGAACTACTTGGTTTAAGGCAAGGATTAGACATAACTGGAAAACAGTTACAGTAAGTATCCTAGAAAAGGAGTGTGAGCATTATAACATCCTCTGAAGGCATGGAAACAAGGCTGTGTGTGTTGGTGGTGAGACAGAGAGACAGACAGGTGGGCTCAAGTAAGCACAAGCCATATGGCTGCATCAGCATGAGGGGCACAAGACAGATGAGAGGATTGAGAGAAGTAATGAACCAAAGAATGATGCTCGAACAATAACTAAGCTTTTGAATTCTTGAATTCACCTAGTGACAGTCTTGTTTGGAAATTCTTCATTGCATTGTCGTTTTATATTTTCTTGGCATTATGTGTTACTGTATGAAGAAACAAATGTCATCATTTTAGTCTGTACTGCTGCTAGAAATGTTCTATTCACACATGTAGACATATTCTAGATTTGGATCCCATGGCTTGATTGGCAGGTGGCTAAATTGACATTAGACTTTTGGCATTTGAGGAGGAGTGTTTGCCTCCTCCTGCTAAGCCTCAGTGTGTGTCACGGAAAAAGATTACTACTCCATAGAGGAAAAGAGACGAAAGCAAAATGTAGCAAAATAAAAAAACATATAGGAATACAGCCTCCTGCCTTTAATTTTATCAATGGAAGCCTGAAAAGAAAATGAATTAAAGAAAGGAGAGTGAAAGACAAAGGCACATCACACTCACACCCAAACACATTCTCTCTTTGTTGTGCTCTCTGTGGGTTAGCAATGTTTGACAGGAAGTCCCTCAGCATGGCGTTTCGGTTATTAATCCACACTTGGATCCAACCACCCCGATCACCACAGGAGATGAAAAGGGGTGTTTGATTTGAGCCCTATCTGCTCCATGCACAAACACACACACACAGACACACAAACAACTTGACAAATGAGGGCATTGCGTGTGGTGCATATTGTGTATCATTGAATGTGTTTAGTTGAAAAATGTTATTAAATGCTTTTTAATTGGTGTGTTGTATTAACAAGATTAACCTAATTAACTTAATTTGTTTGAACCTATTGACTGTAAAACTAAACAATCCTGGATTGTTGCTAAACAAAAAATTGTGTTTAGTTGAGCAATTTCTTTTTCTTACGTATTTATGTGGTTCACATGCAGCATTAGCAGAAAAACATTAAAAGTACATTTAAATTTTCAACGCTGTAGCCATCTGATACAAGCTTGACCACTATATTTGCAGTAGTAAAGTAAAAACATTTAAATAAGCTCTCAATTGAAAGCTCACAGCAATAAGCCAGCTCCACCTTGCTCTGCAGTCTTATGCATCTGGCCTCTTACTTGAAGCTGAGTGTGCATTTGAAAGGTAAGTTCCAGCGGGAGGATAGTAGGATATTAATAGGACTGAAGAGAAGATTGACCTCTGTATACTGGGGAAATCTTAACATATATCCACACAGGAGAGCTGGGACAATTGCAGTTTCTCAGCAGTCCTTCCTATAATTACAGGAAGAGGAAACACATGACACACATACTAGCGTGCTCAGGAGTAGTGACCCACTTTTGTAAATGAGTCTACATGAAAAATACTTCACACACAATCTGGACATTATCTTGAAGCTTTCATTTGTTTAATTGTGCAAATAAACACAATTTAAACTGGGAAAGCTCAGGGACACTGAATCCTTCTTAAAGTACTTATAAAGATAAATTTCTAACAAGCAAATATAAAAACTGTTACATCAGGTCAAAGGCCACAAAAATGTTTTCATGGTTTCATGTTGAATTTGATCCACGTTGGTGTCGCTGGCCATTCATTGGGAAGTTGTTGACCAACATGAAGCCATCAGACTGGGATGTCACTCCTCCATAACCTATTAAAAACTTAAAAACTGCATCTATAAAAATGCGGTAGTGCAATCGCTGCTGAAAAGTTGGCCCTCGTCTTCCTTTTTTCTATAAGCTTAGGCCAATCTCTAAATTTGTTTTCTACTGTTTTCTGTCTAAAATATTGTGGAAAACTACTTGCACCCAAAAAAAAGTCCTTACTGGATGAACATGAAATTCAGGAAGTTTTCCATTGTGGCTTAACGGCGCATTAAAGCATTTTAACGATACATTTTGTGCACTTTATTCTGACTGCGTGCTACTGGTGCTGTTGGCTTTAACAGCTTTTGACACAGTGGACATTCTCATTTGCAGCTGTGTGTGGGCATCGCTGGCTGGGCTCTTCAGTAGCTCAAGTCCTACCTCTAACTTTAGTTTCCGTGTCGAGATTCCTAGTTCTACCTCTGCCTCTGTTGCCCTCCTCTGGGGAGTACTACAAGGCTTTCACTCCCTCTGCTTTGGGCTGTTTTGGTTTCTGTTTTCTGATTTCACTTATATGCAGACGACTGTCAAGTTTATTTTCCTAAAAAAAAAACAGTGCTGTCCAGAATCTCTTTCTGCAAAATGATGGCACAGGTGCACACAATTTTCCTAATTTCATTTTACAGTCTGAGGTCATGTTTTTTAATTCTAGTGGCTTCCATCTTTAACTATGCTTAACCTCGCTCACTTTTTACTGGATTTAGCTGGTTTTCTCTCTCACGCCTGCAGCAACTGTATGATTTTTCCCAGCTGGAGGCAGATGAAAGCACATCACTCTGATTTCATCATCTCATCACTGACTTCCTGTCCATTCACACATTTCTTATTTGTTTTTAGGTCTTTTTTTTTGTCTTGCCCCTCTTTATATTTCTGAGCTGATTCCCCTTTACATTCCATGTTGTGATCTCAGATCAGTGGACCAGCTACTTTGATCAGTGCCTAGAACATAATAAGTCAAAACGAGACAGCCTTATCTGATGCAGCTCCAAAAATGACTTATCATCAGCTTTATTTGGGTCACATTTTAGTCAAACCATGCTATCACTGACTCTTGGGGAGCTTAATATGTACCTGTGGCTGCAGTGCGAGTTGGTTATGCGATTGCTGCTGTGGTGTTTCCGAGCACACTGGTTGTCTCAAATGTGGGAGTCCAAAAATCATGTTGACAGCGTGTCAGATTGGACTGTCCTGCCACTCTCAGCTTGTCTATTTTTATCAGAGTCAGAGTTTAGGCCGAGGCTTTTGTGGGAGGGGAAAAAACGAACAGAGAAGTAAATGAACTGAACGTTTTCCCTCCATCAAAAGTATGATTAGATACTAAAGTGGTTGCCTAAAATATTCAGAATAACAAGCTCTCAATTGTGCTGATGCACCAGTGATTAGTACATGTGCAGTGCAGTGAGTTTGCATCTAAATCAGATTGGAATAGAGGCTCCCAGCCTGATTCGGTCAGTTTTATGATGCCAGCATGCTTAAGGTCAGCCTGTTCGCCTCTTGTCATGCTCACACAGCAACTGGATCACCTCCCACCTGGAGCTGTGTGCCCTGCTGGGGGCCGATGTGCATCCTTTTGCACTGATGAGCCTCATCGGACAGATGAACGGTCGTGAGTGCTCTGACGGGCAGAAGCAGATGGCACATCAGTAGGACTGCGTGGCCTTGCCCTCAGTGGACATGTCACATGCAGAGAGCAGCTAATTACCAGCCGCCTCTTCGGTGTAATGATCAATTATGGCAGTTTGAAGTTACTTGCAAAAACAGGAGTCAGCAGACATATTTGGACCCAAAATTGACTTAAAAAAAGCTTTTTTGATCACGCTTAGGAACTTGGATCTTTGGATTGTTGATGGAGGGATCTGTTTTAAGTAGTATTGACCTCAAAAGAGCATGTGAATTCCAGCTTTTTTTCTTTTTGACTTGTTAACATTTATGTGTGCATTTACTGAACACACCTCAACACAACTTATGCCTTAAAGTTGATTCGCTTGGATCACTGCACTTGCTCTGTGTTTGTGTTTTCAGGTGAGCATCCTCCGGAGGGAAGTGGCCGACCTCGGGCAGATCATGAACAGGATGGCCCAGTTCATGGAGAACCTCGTGCCGTCCGTTCCACAAACTGCAGTAGTCTGTCCCGTGCACTATTCCCCGGCCCACCACACGTACCTGCACCGCCCCGCGTCCCCTCAGTCCTACCCTTTACCCTCGCACTCTAAGGCCGCCTCCACCTGGACGCAGGTGCCACCCTCCTCCGTCACAATCTCCCAGGAACACGTGGCAGGATGCAACACGGACTCCCTGCCTAACAGGCCACAGAACATCCAGTCGGGATGTCCCTCCATCTCCAGCTCGACTCCCCCCTCAGTTCCCGACACAACCACCATTCAGCCCCTCATCTCGCCAGATGTCTCACCCGAAAGCGATGGGGCTTCGAGTCCCTTGAGGCCAGGGGTGCCCCATTCACCTGCGCGGGACGGAGGTGAGGAACAGCCTCGTCAGAGCTCCGTTTGCTCTCCCCAAACCGGACACGAGAGATTCAACCCCAACGAAAGCCAGGGTTTGTAGCAGACCTCCATTCGCTCTTTCCTGCAGTCCGCAGTACTCTTCCCTGCACATTTTTTGGATGTGTTCCGGAACTAAGTCTCAGACTCACTCTCGCTGCAAGACATATATGGGAAATCCATAAAAAAACAAAATTTCTGTCTGTTTCAAAGGCACGCTTGAAAAGTCCTCTTGCATGACAACAAGTACAGATGGTTTAGGTGTATTAGCTTTAAGGCTTTTAGAAACCTAGCGGTTTTAGATGGTATTTAGAGGTGATAAAATGGGAGGCAGCTCTAACTGTAGGGCACGCCTCCAGTCCCTCCCCCCTTCCTCCACCTTCAGAAACACTTCACCCTAATGGAGGTTTGGACAGAAATGGCTGCAGGAGACAATTTCTGTGCACTCCTCTTAAGCCATTTAACCCTTCTTTTCTTGTTCACCCAACCCGTGTCAGATGCTCTGCATAACATGGGAAAAGTGCGTGACTGGCTGAAGGGGGACAGTATGAGGAGAGATATGGGACGTATTGTGCTCTTTACCGCCTCGTCCGCGGGGAAGGGGGGGAAACGATGGAGGAAGCTGGCAATGGAGGTGGTGTTGGGGCATGTTGAGCCTCGGGCAACACAACCCCTGCTGTCGTTTGTCACACTGAGCACAGGGACTCTTTCTCCCCCTCTTTTCCAATGTTTCTCCTTATACACCTCTCCCTCCTCCTTCTATTCTCTGCATGCCATTTCAAGCCTTTTTGAGTAGTGCCTGTAGACACACATTAACATGCTGCATGCCACCCTGTGGAGATCCAGCTTGCCATTTACCTATCTATTTAAGAAAAAGAAGAAAAAAAACACAATTCAATATTTTAAAGGCTGAACATGGTATTTACTGATGCATATTTATTGGATATCAGCTCAGTTTAAAAAGAAAAAAACATGGTTATTTTAGGCACAAGACGGATACCCCGTGGAGGTGGCCTGGAGCAGATATTACCAATGTTAATTGGTTTGTGACTTGCATTTTAAGCTGTACTCCTGATCATCACCCAGGGTTGAGAGCTCTGAGATCCACTCTCTCAGCCGAGCGAAGGCAATATTTCCACATAAAAGCACAAGGGAGAAATAAAACACTTTTATAGATCAATGAATGTATCACTACTAAATTATATCTTCTTTTTTTTTTTTACCTAAAAGGATGCCGTGCTGTACGATGCAGCTTTAAAGAAGTTCGCTGGTGTCAGCCGGTGGGAAAAAAGCCTAGAAACTCCCTCCCAATAGACCTACTCTTCTCTTTTGAAATTCCTGTAGGTTTGACTCTGCTTTTACCGCAAACGGAATGTACTGTAATCAAACTTTCCTTTTCCTTTTTTGATATTTATTAGATACAGAAAATGAAATGCTAATAAACGACAAACATGACTGTTATGTGGTGTGTTTTTGTGCGGTGTAGAACTCTTTTGGGGTCCACGTATCCATGAAATCCACTTTGTTTTCTTAAAGCATAACAGAACAAGGATGCTGCATTTGGGGTGGAAGATGTATTTTCTGATGGATAAGGATTGGGGACTGCTTTTTGCTTTACTGTACACACACACTGCTCCTTTCTTTTGGCAGTGATTTGCAGAGCTGTTCCTGAACTCAGCAGCCATCTCTCTCTCTCATGCAAAGCAGCTGTTGCTTGTTCTGTTTGTAACAGTGCTGTGTATTTGTTTTGCGCGCCTGTGTGTTTGTGCGCGTTCGCCTTTTGTAGGCTCCAGCTATGGTTCGTTTGACCTAAAAGTGCCATGTTCCAGCGGTGACGAAGGCAAGGGGGTGAAAACTGAGTTAGTGTGTGTGTTTGGGATAACACTGACACGCCTGCCAGAGGCCCAGCTGCTCTCACCTGGTGAGCCGTTGTCCTGGTTTGTTTAGTCTCCGTTTGGAAATGCCTAAGGGAATCATTTATATATTCAAGACACATTGGGTCAGTATGTGTGAGTGTGTAAATACATATTTAGTCACTTCATCAACATGCAAAATGTACTCAAAATTTATATGAAAATTTTACTTTCAGATTTTTTATTTCCACTTGGGATGCAGATGTGTTTTCACTGAGAATGATAAGTTGTGTATTTAGCAGAACATCCATGGGTATGCTGTCACTTAGCCTTGGGTTTTGAGACCCATCAATATTTAATGGTGTACAGACAATCCCATCCCGACTGCTTATGCGTCGTTTTACCCACCTGCTGGTAAACTCATCTTTTATTCACCGCTTTCCCACTTTATCTGCCATTAGCTAACTGTAGTCCATCTGGCCTCATGCTCCTTTCACGTGAGATTCTAAAGAAAATGTGGGATCTGATCCTCAATGGAGAGGATATGGAAAAGCTCTATAGGTGGGAATTGTTTTTTGAAGAAGCCAAAGGAAGTTTACCTGTTCATTTATCATTTTTTAAAGGGATACACACTTTACTCTGTCTTTTAAGTCTCACGTAATGCCGTGGGACAGGGGATGATTTTCAGTGCGCTGGATTTCCATTATTTGGAGACGGCCCTGACCCAAATCTAGCAGCAATTCATCCTCGTCCACTTTTGTTATTCACATGCAGAATTGTACGCTTTCAGTGTTCCATTCAAATGAGCACTTTATCCCAGAGAAAGGAGCCACTTCACTTCCATATCAGCAAAAAAAAAAAAAAAAAAAAGCATAACCTTTCTTTCAGGAACTAAATAAGCTTTAATCTTAACCCAAATCATAGAGAAATATGGACACTTGCCAACTGCTCTGTGATACTTTCTAAAAAAATAATCAAAAGACATTATTTCTTTCAATGTGTTTGAAAGACGCCCCTGACTATATATACACCAAAAGCCGGGCCTTGTGAGGCTCTCCAAGACAACAGCTTTACATGTATCTGTTCCACTTGAGGTACGACAGTAGAGGCCATTTGCATCAGTGTAAAGCTGGAAAGGGAGGAGGGAGCTTGAAGGACATCTTGCATGTTGTGATAAATGAGTCCGAGCAGCTCTTATGGATGCTTTGGTGGCGGTGGTGGACGGACAATGCACATGTCTTCAGAGGAGATTAATGGCGCCTTTCTCCCTTTTGAGGTTGCACGTCTGGCTGCACTCATCAACCGTCCCACTCTGGGATGGATGTTAAATTACCTCTTTCGTTGTTTGCTTGTCAGAGAACAGTCTGGCATTTTTAAGCTGACAGTTGGAGGATCATCAGCATGAGGAGCTCTTTATATGTGGTTTGTTTTTTAAGTTATTATTGTAGAAGATAGCATTCATGGACGTTTTTCTTCAGAAAAGTTGTCACTTAAAATCCTCAGCCATGTGTAACGAGGCTTATCTCTGCCTGTGAACAAATGCCTGCATTATTTCAATGGAATTTACAGCAGTTGAGGTTAACAGGCCAAAATAATTATCAGAAGAGTTAAATTTTTTGTCATTTGATTGTTTTAAACTGGTAGTTATTGTCATTTTTCAGGTTTCAATGCCTTCTTTATCATTTAAACTCAAACAATAACACACATGGGCTGCTGTGGAACATCACTACACACTTTACACATGTTCTTGCTGCCATTTATGTTAACTTTGTCTCAGCTCTGTTGCAGAGGCCAGTCCACTAAAACCTCATTTCACTTTACAAACAACTGGAAACAGCAGAGTCCGTGTAAAAGAACCCCAAGGCTTTGTCCGAGGTTTGCACGGTTTACACAGCCAGCTACCTCCTGGAGGGAAAAAGACCCGTGGATGTTTGTAAAGAGGCGGCGGATCTCTCTCCACCGCCGTAGCTCAAATCCATCTGAGTCACCAGGTTCTCTGGAAGATGTGCACAGAATAGAGCGAGCGTACGACGTGCCCAGCAGCCATCAGCGCTGGATGTGGGTGTTCACTGTGTTCATCACACTTTTACCCCGGCACGGAGAAGAAATGGAAGATTCTGTTTAGCGAAGACCAGGGGGAGGCGAGAGCAGACAAAAGGTCACACACGGCATCAGAGGAGGAGGACAGTTTCAGGGGTGCGGGGAGAACAGGCAGAATCAGAAGATGGAAAGATGAAAAGGAGAGGGCACATTTGCGTTGAAAAGGGCAAGTTAAACCACCCAAATCTGATCTATTAGACAATCTTAGTCTTATAATCTTTTTTTTTTTTTTAAATCTCCTTATTCCAGACATTTCCAAAACAATATCCCTTCTATCCACTGCATGATTCCTTTGGGTGAGAGGCGGGGCACACCCTGGACGGGTCAAAAGGACAGTCACAGGGCCACTCAGAGACGAATGATGTTTGTTTGTTCAAACTTCATCAGCATCCTCAGTTTCCGTCGCCTTGTATTTAGAGTAACTGGTTATTGACTTAGTGTCTTCCCTGACTGTCACCCACTGACAGCTGGGTGTCAGTGGGGGAGACAAGAGAGACACTACCTGCATCTCACCCAGTAAGAAGCCCCCCGTCACCCCACTAGGAGTAAGTGATGGAGACAATGGATTGATGGATGACTGAGTGAGTTAGTGATATAGAATTGGTGGAATTTCTTTCTGTTGTACTATCATAAACCAAGCTAACGGTTTCCAGAGCTCTTTTCCAAAAAGATTCTTGACTACTTCTACTTTTATAGAGTCAATGTTGTTTTTTTAGGTGAAGTTTACTGTCTTGGATACTTTCTTTGGGAAAACATGAACTGGTTTTTACATCTCTCTTCCATATTATTGGTCAGGGGTGTTCTGCCTCCACAGCGGAGAGAAGTAGCCTCTTTTTCCAGCTGCTCAGCTTAGTAGTTCATACTGCAGGCACATGACTGAATAAGAGATTCTAATCGACTACATTGACTCGTGCCTCGGAGCTGCAGATATGAAGGACTTTCATTGTAAAGATGCAGTGGCCGACTGGGCTAAGTGCACCGAGGGGGTTAAGAAGAGCATCGCCGTGTGACCGAGCACACAGGGTTGTTAGGACTCTCTGCCAGGGGCGAGAACAAAGGACATATGGACCAGCTTGGGGGGCTTTCCTGCCAGTCACTGTTCTGACCTTAATTAACTGGATTCATCGAAAAAACATCTTCACTTCTTAAACGTTGTACTGTGTCATTTACATTAGCTCGAAAAAACTATGTCCTTCCAATGGAGAGGGTCCTCCTTTTTTTTTCTTTTTTTTGCTGTTGCTTTATTTGTTTTTTTGCGGACAGAAATACATTTTAATGAGTCTGATGTTAATTAAATCAGACTCATATCATCTCTATAGACAAGAGGTTTGACGTGAACTTTTCACAAGTTAAGAACATGAGAATATGTGCTGCCAATGTGTAAAAAATAAAGTAGCTGTCTGGAAGGGAGAGGGCTCCCTCTGCTGTTGGCAACTGATAAGCTTTGAGGAACACTTTTTGGAAAGACTTTGAGGTAAAACTATGGTTGTGCAATACTGTGAAACACATTACAAAAGAATGTAACTTTCTTAAACACAGAATTGTATTGTATTATGTTAGCAATCTTTGCATAACGATGGCTATATTTAGAGAGTAATGCTGCTTCTGTCATAATGTCAAGCTTTCTTAGACAATGAGCGCACAATGAGTTGTCAGTAAATGTCGGTCGTGGAAAACAGGCTTGTTAAAGTTCGGTCCACCCCCTGCCTTCCTGCTTGGCTTATCAGTGCCAGAGCCAGAGCCCATAACCATGGAAAACCCATCATGACCCACCCTTGTTTCACAGATGTAAAACTTTTTTTTTAATTGTGTATTTTATCGTTGAACAAAATTAACATAAAAAAGCCTCACATTAATTATTTTCGATATTTATTTTCATTTTAGTTTAAATACAGTTCATTCTAAATTATCATCATCTACTACAAAATATATCCAGTCATACTCCTGATAGATAATTACATTCTTTATTCATAAGCATAGTTAATTACATTTTTTATCCTTAAAACAGGAACAAAAAACAAGCTGTAGAGTGGATAAAAACAACTTCTGTTATTTCATACTGGTGAGGCCAGATTGCATGCCTCTAGAAAAAGCAGAGTTTACACTACTGTGCAAGACTTGAGTCATCTTTCATTTTATATATGTTGCTTCCAGGACTTCCAGGCTTTCTTGTAGTCTTGTAAATTGGTCTCAGGCAGTGGTTTTCCAGGTTCTCTGAAGGGTTTTGAAAAATCAGAAAAAGGTCCTCAAACAAGATATGCACCTGATCCAGTTGACTCATTTACTGTTCACTGTACTCACAGAGGTCACTCCTGAAGCCAGAACGCTGGTAGAAAAAGATCAGTCATGCCAAAGGACACAGAAACTAAAATTAATTGTAACTGTTATTAATGAATCCTCCCCGGAATTTGAACCACATTACAGCAGTAGTGTGCTATCGTCCTGACAAAATGAAACAAAACGCAACCAACACCCAAAGAAGAGCTTTGAATTATCCTTCAAAAAACCCAAAGAACTGTCAATAAGAATGCTGAACAACAAAGTTGAAAATAAGACAATTTCACACTTTGTAGAACTGAAAAACCTGGGTTTCTCCTTAGTTCAAGTCTTTCTATTAATGTTTGAACATAAAAAATATAGCTGCGCCAATCTTTTATCGTCCTTTACAAAGAAATTATGTGTAGTTCTGAATAGTTCTGCGTTCGATACGGATGTGAGGTGTGATTCAGATCATGGAAACAAACTCCTGCTTCAGGCGCCTTTGGGGGCTACTAGTTGCTCGAAGTGCCACTGTTGTCTGGGCTGGTGTGAACACTGGCGCAGGTACAGACCAGCGGCCCCGGAGCTGCTGGAGTTTTCTCCCGGACCCCCTTCTCTCACGGCCTCCACGCATAACTGGGAATGCTGGTGAACCAGCTGGCCGCTCAGCTGGTGCATGCAAAAACACAGAGACAGGGACTTTACCAACAAAAAAAAAGCAAAAAATACAACAAAAAAAGAACGGAAAAATTCAAGGATGACACGTTTAATGATCTGCCTTGCCTTTATGAACTTCCACTGGAGTCTGACGTCGGGTGGTCGGCGGGGGGGGCAGAGGGAGAGCACCACCCTGTCTCTTCTGGTGTCAAAGCACAGGGCCCCCGAGGGCCCCCATCGCACCTCACCCTCAGAGTTCAGGTCGCAGTGCTGCAACAGGAGCAGACCCTCGTTGCCGCTCCGCAGGACCCGACAACCTTCATCGCGGGTGAGCGCGTCGTCATGGTTACCTGGCTGCCGGTCCCCGTGCACGGTGCCAGGCTCACGGCTCCGCCCTGCCCCTCCGGCCCTCCGCGATAATCCGCACAGCTACCCGTGCCCGCACTGTACAGCTTCCAGAAGTAACAAAAACTGCACGTTACATCACAGTCTGAAACAAACCATCAGTGTGTGTGTGTGTATGTCCTAACCTCGCCTGAAAGTGTGGGTCTGTCCTGGGGCACGTAGAGTTGTGGGTACACCGTGGACAGGAACCAGTGGAAGTTCCGACAACCCAGAGATCTCTTCAGCCGCAGACGCTCCGTGATGTTGGGGCTCTCGGACTAACAAAGCGAGGTCAGGGTGTTAGCGTGAGACTCTGTTAGCCGGTCCCGCTCTTCCACATATGTTAACACACACACACACACTTGTCTGATGAAATGAGCAAGCGTGTCCCTCCTGTAGAAGATCTTCCGGTACGCGTCCATCCAGATGTCGGCCACACGGATCTTGTTCCTCTGGAGCAGATCCTGGTCCGGGAAGACGTACGGTAGGTGGCGGCGAGCGATGTGAGCCACCCGGGAGCAAGGCACCACCTCCATGGAGCCCCCGCACGACCACACCTGAAGAGGGCGGAAACACTTAAGTTTCTGTCAGAACTCCACAAATCACAGCAACCAAAAGATTGCAAATTCAGAGAGAAAAATATCTTATGAAACACATCAATGAAACAACCAGAATACTCTGACATTAAGGAGGAAAAGGCTCTTAAATACTGGACATATCATGTTTTCCTTAAATGTTGATATTCTTTCTGCTTTGGGGTTGTTTTTTTCATTTGTTTTTTGTTTGTCCTGTTTGATTTGTGTCTTGATAGAAAGTATGTTCTCTGAAATGCTGCATCAGGTTTTCATCATTATAACTTTTTTTTGTATAACAATGCTCGTTGGTTTGTTTTCCTGCCATGTCCTCTGTTTTTTTGTCCTGATTCCTTGCTCGTGGTTTTCTGTTTTGTGGGAAAAGGTGAGCATTATAAACTGTTTGTCTGGGATGGGAAGCTCCTCAGGATGTGGGTCTGAGGTTCATGAGTTCACGAGCAAAGCACAGGAACTCTATAATAGATAAATAGATTCATTATATTTGTCTGCAGGGCAAGGCATTCCAGGTCCATTATTTAACCAGAAATGTTCCACTTGCAAAAGAAATCATCTCACAGGACAACATTCCTGAAGCCCCGGCGGAGGGCAGCGGAATCCCTCAGACTGAGCATCGCAGAAATGTCAGACTTTTAAATTCAAACATAGTGGAAGAATTGAGGCTAAATTGAGACTCTGTTCTGGCTCTAGCTGTGTCTGTCACTGCTTGGGAAACAATCCTCAGACTTCACTGGCTGGTCGGTATCAGTGACAGATACAGGATGCTTTGGAGATCACATTTTCTACAATTCTAGCTAACTAACGGCCCATAATTGAGTTGTATTCTTTTTTTTATTTACCCTGATGGACAGCTCAACGTGTTCCGCCCCCCACAGCAGCATTCCGGGGTCATAGGCTCCCACACTCTGGAAGAAGTGTCGGTCAATGGCCACAACTCCTCCTCCTAAAGCGGGGCTCCTGTTACAGTCAGTATGAGTATCACTTTTAACAGCTATACCAAGTTCCCTCCACTTGTGATATGTTTTTTATTTATTGAACTTTGCCCTGTCTGGGTTCATACTCACAGCACAGGTCGAACAGCCGTATCCGGGTCCTTCTCTTCCAATTGAGGGTTCGCCTCCCAGTGGAAGTCAAGTCTCCAGTCAAACACTCCCCGGACTGGCCACTGGGTGGCGTTATACTGGAAGGTCTGCCAGTCTATCACGTCCATCACCGGAGACACCACTCTGGTCCTGGGAAGAGGGCCCATTCAGCCATTTTTTGGGTTTGAAATAACTTTATTCGTAGGATTAAAGGTGGGTTTGTTAGAATGGTTAACAGCCTTAACAGTCATTAGTCACAATCTGTGAACATCTAAGAAGGGCTTTTCTGATCTGTGTGTGTGCGTGTGTGTGCGTGCGTGTGCGTGTGTTTGTGTGTGTCTGTGTGAGACATCTGTCTGAGCTGGTTTCAGCCTTCACGCCAGACACCTTCTGTTTTGTGTATATTTTTTCAGGTTTTTTTCTTCTAAGGGAATGGAATGAAAAGATTTTTTTTTAAAAGGGAAACAGAAGGAATGAAAGACGTATCCAACATGTGGCACAGACAGCTGAGTTCCCGCAGGTTCCTGGCCCGAGAGTTCAGTCGTAATTACCTCGTCTAATTAGAGCCACACTGCAGGCCGCTCAGCCAAATCAGGAGAGCCCAGTCTGGGACTCACGCTGGGCTCATCCACCCCTCTGCTTTTCTGCTTTACTAATGAATAAGGACAACTAAGAACTCTGAACCCTCGATTATCTCACTTCTTACAAGTGGTTCTGTCAAATGGCAAAAGAACCAGACAAAGTTTGAGCTTGGCTGCTGGGTTGGACTCTCTCTGGCCCTTGTATTGTATTTCTAATTAAAAATTCCAGGTAGGCAACTCATTATCCCCCTTTTTATTAAACTTTTTTGGGCATTTGATGAAGATGGGTGCGATGGAATAACGTTTTCCAGAGGTTGTTGTTAATATTAAAGACTAAAAGAATGTCATTCTTGACAAGTATGAAATAGTACCTGTCCTGGACGATTCTGTCCAGTAGAGGTTCCAGCCATCCATTCTGGCATTCACAGTGGGAGTCCATGAATACCAGCACCTCCCCTGTTGCCCTGGCAGAACCCAGGGTGCGACACCCTCCCACTCCCAAGCGCCTGGTGCTGCGAATGAGACGAACCCCGTCCAGGTGAGACACATACTCACTCAGGACGGTTTTCAGGTGACCTGAGAGGGAAACAACAACAAAAAAAAAAGAGGAGGGACAGGCGCTCAAATACAGACACGTGATGGATGGATGGATGGATGGATGGATGGATGGATGGATGGATGGATGGATGGATGGATGGATGGATGGATGGATGGATGGATGGATGGATGGATGGATGGATGGATGGATGCATCTCACCAAACTGGCTGAGGTCGTCCACCAGCAGGACCTCCTGCAGATACCGCTTGGGGGCCGTGTCCAGCACGCTGTGCACGGTGCGCAGGAGCGTGGACCATGCCTCGTCGTGGAAACAAACAACCACGCTGACGGTGGGCAGAGAGTCGCTGTACCGCTCGCGCAGGCACCTGTGTGTTAAAACCACAGCAATGTTAACGTTTCGATGGGTGGAAACTTTTGGCGCAGGTTTTTTTTTTGAGTTCGCCTTTTTTTGCACTCACTCGGGATGGCGCCCGTCTGGCAGTTTGCGATGCACCGAAATTCTCTCGCTGACCACTTCGTTGAAGCCGTATTTCTGCACCGATGTCTGCTCCAGGTCCGTCTGCAAACCGTCCGGGGGCAGACGCACAGCTTTGCCCATTTCACCGAGCGTCTGCGTCCTGGCTGCGCCTGCGTCCTTCGGTGCTCCGGGCAGGAGCATCTTGTACGCGCGTTTCCTCTGCGGCAGGCTCTTGGTGCTCAGGAGGGACGGGACGAATAGCAGCTCGTCTTCTTGGAGAGACTTCAGCGGAGCCAGATCCGCTCCGATCTCCAGCGCGGGGTCTCGGGAGTCCACGATGACTTCCAGCTCCGGCGGGCCGGGAATCCGCTGGAGGGGCCGACGGGGACGCGCCGGCTTCTGGAGCTGCGCGAGGTCGCGATTCCTGTTGAGCAGCTCGGAAAGCGTCAGCGTGAACAGGGCGAGACCGAGCAGCAGCAGCCAGAGGCAGAGCATCCTCCTCCGGCCAGCCGGAGCCCTGAGCCACAGGCTCATCGCTGAAGTTAGGCAGAGGCCACAGCGCTCAGAAATCAACCCAACTTACGCATTCTTTCAGCTTTGACTCAACTTTGGAGTGAATTTCATTTCTCCAAAGTTTTGGAACTTGGCACGAGTCGTCCAAACTGCAGATAGAGCAACATGGTGAGCATTTGGAAGACTGTAGTCACATCCAACCGAGCTGCAGACTTTGGACAGGAGTCACAGGCAGGCTGGGCAAATTCAAGACGAGCCCTGGACTTGTAGAGGTGCGCAGACTTGTCCTCTTTTTCAACTCTTCCCGCGGTCCTAAAGCCTGCGCAGAGTTGGTGCTGCAAGTCTGCGGTTGAACAACGAATCCACCTGCTCCCGGACAGCTGCCCGTTTCCCCCCACTAAAAGGTTTTTTATTGATCAAAAGTTGGATTTTGGAGCGTCAGAATACATGTGTACTTGTTAAATAACTTCAATAAATGCTCTTATTTTAAAAGAGCAACAGGTTGCACTGAAACTTCAGTTTTCTTGCAACATGTTGCTACATTTTTTGCTTTGTTTGTTTTTTTTACATTTGTATGAAACCCTGCTCGGTGCAGACGTTTTCCTGAAGCGCAACAGACCAAAGAGGCTCCTGGTCCAGCTGGCTGCGGACCCACAGGTCCCATGACCGTCTGTCGGACTGGGGGGCTGCGCAGCCCAGTCAGATGAGCTTTTTTCAACAGATAGAAAAAGACCGAGAACGTTCGTTTGTTTTGGTGCTTTTATGGACGTTGGCACGGTTGAGTTGAGTTTCACGCTTTGTGTTTACATTGCATTGCTTTGCTTTTCCACAGTTCAGAAGAGACCCAGTGGACGTTAGAGAGAGTTAAGTCAGAGGGAGTGTGCTCACGTGCTGTGTGTTTTCACAGAGGCTGCAGAACACAGCCACAAAGTCACCCAATACATTTTCCAGGAGAGTAATTGCCAACATAAGGCCAGGTTTTTTAGCTGTTTCCCCCCCCCCCCCTTTATTACCACTTGACAAGAATTAAAGGCGTTTTGCGTCAGAGGTTTGTGTTATGGCTCCCTGAAACTGTGAAAGGACACTCTGTTCAAGCTTGAGGACCAACTGGGAGCTCTGAGTTCAGTCTGGGTTCAAGCAGAGATCACTTTACGACCCCAGTGCCTCTGCTGTTGGTGGGGACTCCTGCAAAGCCCTGAGTTTGAATGACTGGGTGGGATTCCTCCCCTTTCTGCACTCCACTCTAGTCTGGAGGACAGACGGAAAAGTCCTCTGATGACAATGATTACAGCCAAGACACGAGAGAATGACACCTGGATGGACACTGATGGGGAGTTAAAAGAAGACATTACAGTCAAAACGGAGGGTGTTCCAATGAAGGTGGAAATGAAAGAGAGGGCTGAAAGATCAGAGACGAGCACACAGAGACTCAACCTCTCCCTGACTCTGGAGTTCTTGTGGGAATGTGTTTGAAAGCCTCGAGATCGAGAAAGAAAGAAGACCTTCGAGTATTTCCAGTGCTGCCATATGTTCCTCCGCGCAGCCAAAACACACAGTGAGGAGAAGTTTCCACTGCCAGCACATTTTCAGACTCAGGAACAAACAGCAAAAGTTCATGGACACACACACACACACACTCGCACACACGCACGCACTCAAATCCGGGCCACATTCTGGGGAACGGTTCTGCATTCCATCACCTGACTAGAAGCCAGAAGCTGTAAATGAAACGGCAAGACAAGCCCAGCAGAGAGTAATGTGACTCTTGGCCCGGCAGCTCAAAGCACTTCTGGTCTGATCTTCATTCATATTTTTCCTTCTTTACAAGCAGAAAGGCCTGGAGCCCAGTGTGCATGTGTGTGGGTCACACACACACACACAACACACACACAGGACTTGTACACACAGAGACAGTAGTGCAGATGGTTATGGAGTTAAACTTAGAATGTCAGATTATAAGAACCCTAATGTCAGCTCTTGGCACTGGGCTGATGAATATGGGGAAATGAACTCAGATATTCCACCAATCAGACAATGACACGTCAACACAAAAACCCACCATGAGAAATAATTCATTTTCCAAAAGAACAACACCATCAGTAATTCATCAAACAAGAAAAAGCTACATTTCAGAATACACAGCAACAAAACCAAACATGCATAACAGAAAGTACAGCTAAATAACAAACCAGAAAACAACATCTCCCAACACACGACAAACTAAAACACATATAACCTAAAAGCAGTGGAGAATATATGCAACTTCATTCAAGGAAAACACACACAACAGAAATTTGAAAAAATGCAGACACTTATTTTTATAAATGAAATACCTTTGTTAACGTTTATGTTATTTTTTATGCTAATATACGTAATACTGGACAAACATGTTGTATGGAAGGAGGTGGTGAATGTAAGGAGACTCATATGTGCTCTTTATTTTCACAGATATATCATCATACCATCCATAAGGAATCTGCCAAGTATACATTTCCGTAACCATTCATGAATGGTTTGTTTTGCTGAGATTGTTTTGAAACTTGCTTTATCCAGCTTTGCACCACAGCATCCTTATTTACCAACACAATTGATACAAGAAATCTTTTGTTGCATTTTTTTCCTTGCCAATAAAATAGTGTTTTAAACCCTGACGTTTGACTTTCATCCTCAGTTTGTGTTTTGTGGGGACAGACTGAGGCTGCGGAGTGGTGCTGCCCTCTGCTGGACAAAGGCAGAATTGCTGCTCACCGACGGGTTCACGCTTTTGTCACGTCACGCAGAAACTGGGTGTAAAATGAACCACTGACCTCCAACGACTGTCACATTTGCATAAAATGTTGATCTGGTTAAACGTTTGGTTGGAATTATCCGGAATCACGTGTCCTGAAATGAAAACATCTTGTGTTCGCTATCTGTCTCTGATCTAATTTTAAGAAATATGCACAGAAATGAAATGCTAACTGTGCGCTTTTCAAACTCAACGCAGATATTTGGGGTGTTTTTGAGCAGATTAAGTAGATGGTTGTATTGATATTTGATTTCCACGCAGAATTTCCAATTTTTCTAATCTAACGATCAAACCAGCAATATCATCGATTGAAGAATTATTCGAACTTCTATGGTCGAATTGAATTCGTTTTGGTTCAGACATTGTGTACGCACTGCTTGATATCATATCACTGAAAAATGAATTCAACAAAATCACTGCATCTGCTCTTTTTGTTGTTTTATTTGTTGTTGTTTTTTAAAGTGGAAAATGGCCTGTCCTTGCTTTCACTCATACAAATTGAGAATGTGCAGCTGCCTAATCGGTTTATCTTAAATTCACCTCCAACCCATTCAGGGAACCTCCAGTGCTTAAAAGTTAGATCTCTGTCTGTGAGCCTTCTTGTTTGTTAGCTTTTTTATTTTCAATCGACGTTTTTATTTGAGTTACGAAATGAAATGGCTGACTTTTAGACGCATATTGGGGATGATCTCTGCTCGGTGGTGCTGTTTCCAAACCTCCTTGTGACGGCCCTGGACTCGCTGGTCTCATGCTGGACGGCGCTGGACATCACAAGCCTTCCTTCTGCTTTTCTGTGGCGCAACGTGGACGCACCTCTGAGGGGTGACGGTGGCCCCACGCCACACAAAAGTGTCACACAGTCATGAGTCAAACTTGTTATTAGACGGGCAGTAAGAACCCCTTTAATCAGCATTCTTTCAATCCAATCCAATAAAAGAATGTGGGGGAGATTTTCTTTATATCTTACCCTACAAAAATAACATTTAACGTATAGGCTACTCTGCATTTCTAAATTAACAATATTTAATTTCAAAGACGAATAAAATTCATTTGAATAAGAAAAAACACGACTGAGACGCAATTTAAAGGCAAGAAATAATACGGAGAAGATTTCCCAGTGATAAATCTTTCAAACTAACACAGAAAATATTTCTTTTAAACGATGGAACTATAATAGTGACACAATTATAACGAATATTTTCCGATGAAATCATTCACAATGTTCTCCAATGCAGGGAGGAAACAACTTTCTGACATCATCTGTAGGTGTTGAGAAAGAGGAGAAAAGAGGAAAAAGAGCATGCGCGTGCGTCCGCGCGCATCTCACGTCCCTCGAGTTTCCTGCATCCCAGCATCCTTAATGAGGGATGAGATGCGCCTCGTTAGGAAACGTCACATGTTTGTGCGCGGAGCGGGGTCAGATTAAATTAGAGGACCTCACGGCCAGCAGGAGGGAGACGGCCACAGGACGGAGGCAAGAGGGAGGCACGAGAGGCTGTCTGGTCGGCGTTCACTTCAACTTTTTGTGCCAGATTAAAAGGTGTTGGGGTTCTGTTTTTTTTATTATTCCCAAACGCTGGACATGGAGGTGCTGCGGTGCGTTTTTCTCCTGGCCGCCGCCTGCTTTTTGGACAGAGCTGACGGACGCAAAAGTAAGTGATGAAGCCAAATAATGGTGGCGCGAGGGTGTTGTTGGTGCTTTTACCAGATCTGCCGATAAAACGCGTTTTCTGGAGTTAGAGAGTTGTCATTTCACTGGACGCAGACTGAAAGCGATTATCCTTATTTTCATTTAAAATACGTTGGATTCTTAAGGACTAAAACGGGTTTGTGATCCCACAGTCTGTGTAATGTGTTTCTCGTTCCCTGCTGTCTGCAGTCAGAGTCCCATGAGCCCAATTAAGGCGTGCGTCTAATCGGATGGTCCATCCACCCTCAAAGCTGGTGTCTATAATTTTACATTCATAAGGGATTTGCGATTTCCTTTTTTATCATTATAACTATTTTTTATTATAACCAGATGTTAGACGACAAAGTTCTAGGAAGAAAAAAAGTTCACATTTTACGGTGTAAGATCAAACTAAACAGATCAAAAGTTTAAAAGTTTTTCATTTGAATCCTATTTTCAGGTCAATTCACGCCTTTATTTGTTCGCAGATGACAGTTTGCTGGTGAATAATTTGGTTCTTTTTCCTGTAATCAAATTACTCCGATGGAATGTCTTGTATTTCTAGACCGTCCCAAAAAACAGGAAAACAAATTTCGAATCAAACTTTTAAAAAAACCCTGAAACACTGAAAACAAATTCGTGGGACATTTTCACAAGTTCTACCAGGCCTGCCTTTTGATTTTCTTCATAATTTTCTGCTTTCTTTATTGAATGCTTTTCATTTAATACCTGTTTATGTTGTTTTCATTTTAAAAAAGAATGATTTTTACTCATACTTTACATTCATTTGATTCCAAAACTAATTCATTTTTGCGATTGGATATTATATGTTGTAATATTATGATAATTTTATTGTAATATTGTTTTCTCAAATTGATGAAAAACCAGATGAAAATTACTTTTTTGGTTGTTCATCTGTACAAGTGGCTGACACAAAAAACAACATATGTTTTCTAATGTATGTAATACTAAAAACCCAGCTTCTCTCTCTCTATCTATCTATCTCTCTCTCTCTAGCATATGCTGACATGTTCCCACACAAGCACTCCATGGTGGGGAAGTTCCCCTTTCCAATCCCCCCCATCCCCGGCTGGGACCCTGACACTAACCCGTGGGATGATTACCTCTACCCACCGTTCGGCCCTAAACCAGGGCAGCTCATGCGTCACAGAGGTGAGCGAGACCTTTTCCATGCTTTCCCCCCTCTCAAATACCCGTGGATCTATATCTCACCCTGGTGGTTCTGCAGGTAAACCGAAGGTCCGCCTGAACAGCGACAGTCCAGCTCTCAACGGCTCGTGCATCTCCTTCACGGCCAAGCTGGAGTATCCTCCGTGCCAGAAGGAGGATGCCAACGGGGACCTGGTCTGGGACGAGCACTGCGAGGATGGTATGGAGCTGGAGGCCTCAGGTGCTGCAGGGAAGCCAGGCCAGGCCACAAACATCACAACACGGCCCCACAATGCGCACAACATCACACAGCGTCACCGTAAAATCACGTGTTCAAAGTCAAGCCACTGTCTTTTCAGGGACTTCGGACCCAAACAGTGCAGTTTTGTGGATGACATCAAATGTATATTGATAGAAAAGTGGACAATAATCTATACCTGTACTAATTAATAACTAGTACACAAACACATGATGAATTCACATTCTATTCTGTCAAAAATGTTAAATTGGAAATATTTCCTCATGTGGTTCTGACTCTTTTTAAAGTAGCTTATCCCTCACTTTGAACAGCCAATGGGCAGGTCCGCTCGGGCTACGTGTACAACTGGACTTCCTGGTTGGACGACTACGGCTTTGGGAAGTGCACAGACACGGCCAAGTGCAACGTGTTCCCCGACGGGAAGCCCTTCCCCCAGAGCAACGACTGGAGGCGCAAGAGTTACGTCTACGTCTGGCACGCCATGGGTGAGTAGGCCGGTGTGGGCTCGGCACACAGGGAAAGGACAACCCCTCCCCCTGGTTTTTCACCCCTGGGTTTGCTGTTCCAGGTCAGTACTTTGAGACGTGCGACGGCTCTTCTTCGAGCTTGACCATCAACACCACCAGCATCCCCCTGGGAGGAGAGGTGATGGAGGTCATGGTCTACAGGAAGCGGGAACGCCGGAAGTACAGCCCCCTGACCACCGACAACACCGTCTTCTTCGTGACAGGTGGAGACAAACTCATCCCTCGGCACCGTTTCCATCAGCCGAACCTTGGCGGATAACAATTTTTTCCCCCCATTTTCCCCCACACGCGCCTCCAGATAAGATCCCACTGGCGGTCAACATCTCCCAGAAGTCTGCGGTCAACCAGTCCGCCAACGTCTTCTTCCGCGGGGAGGACGTGGTCTTCAAGGTCCAGCTCCACGACCCCAGCGGCTACCTGAAGAGCGCCGCCGCCATCGACTACATCTGGGACTTCAGAGACGGCAACCAGGTGGTGACGCACCGCGAGGTGACCACGCACGCCTACGGCACGCTGGGCACCATGAGCGTCAAGCTGGTGGTGGAGGCGGCCTTCCCCGTGGAGTGCCCGCCCGCTTCGGCCACGCCGACCCCCAGAGGCCCCACGTCCGCCCCTCACACCGGTACCCAACAGAGACCGCAAACATAGACGCAGATATCAATGCTTAATACCATTTCTGCTCACCACCATCACATTTTTCATTCGAGACAACCTTAAAACGGGATGAATACTGAACACGTTTAGTCGTTATTAACAAGCTTTTTCTTGTTTGTTTTAATTTGCACCATGACGTTTTTTTAAATGGTCCTTAGAGAACATTAGAGCTGTCAACAGGGGCCCCAGAGGCACAAATTATCAGATCACTAAAGTAGCTGTGCATTTATGGCCCTCACATCTGTGTGTTCCCCTCCAGAGGCTCCGACAGCTCCACCTGTTACGCATGCTGTTACCACCAGAATGGAAACGACAGCAGGTGAGGCTCGGCAGAAAACTCTGTCTGATATCTTATATTTCTAAGCGAAAGATGTTAAAATGCTGGGGGAAAAACTCTGTTTCAGTGTCGGTCAGCACCAGGCGGCCCCTTCCCTCTTCTTCTGCCGCCCCCACCACCGCGGGGCTGCCCTCCACAGAGCCCCTTCCCCCCACCGAGCCCCCCCCCACCAGCCTGCCGCTGCTCCGCGCCCGCCGCCCCAACGGCAACGAGTGTTTCCGCTACTCCTACGGGACCTTCACGGGCAACATCACCATCATCGGTAGGTGGGGGTGGGCCGGGGCTAGCTGTGTCTTTTTTCCCCCACATTTAGACTTGGAGTGAAAAACAATCCTGCTGTGAACATCTGTTTGTAAAAGCCACACTTGTGAAATCCACCCATTAGGTCAGAGTCAGTGTTGCTCACAATTACAATATTATCTTAACATCAATAGCAGGTTAACATTTAAAATCTGATCTACTTTATCTGTGAATTATGAATATTTTCCTTTTATTTTCAATTGCAGAATTACACTTAAAAGAAATATAAAACCAATGCAAACATCCAAATATGCTATTAATAATATTCTGATCTTCTGAAGTATTTTATTGATTTTCTTTCCCAATTATCCTCAATACTTGCAGTTATCTTTCTTAACTGAAATAGCTTATTTATTTGGTTGGACATAGGAATCCTCAAGTATCTTAAAGATCACCAGGTCATGGCAAAGTAGTGTCTTAGAGAAAACCACAAAGAGTGTTAAATTGATGGATGAACTGGATGAAAGTACATTTAAAAGTTTCAGCTGAAACATAACTGGAATAACTTGTTAGAGGTTAAAGGTTATTTTCTACATGTTCAAATGAGTCCTGAGCATTAATCTGAGCTGCATCATCTTGTTTAATCTTTGTCATTTCACGAGAACACAAAAAACTGACACGATCTGTCCTGTTGTCCGTAGAACCGAAGAAACCTCTGAACGGCCAGCAGCCGGACAGCCGCATTGTGGACGTGTCGGCCGCCAGAGTGACCAACACCGACGTCAGCTTCAGGGTGAAATGCCTGGGCAGGTGCGCACTGAATCCGTATCTTCTTTTCATCATGAAATCATCCATGTTTCACAGGGACCCAACAATTTTGCACTTTTTTTCTTTTCTTTTTTAAACTGAGGACCAGTTTTTAAGATCATTAGACACGGAAAATGGAAACCAGGCTTTAAAAAGCTTGAAGTGTGGGTTTCATCCTGCTTTTCCATCCTCAGCATCCCCACCTCGGCCTGCACCATCGTGTCGGACCCCAGCTGCACTCACGTGCACAACATCATGTGCGACGACGTGCCGCCGCTGAGCGAGTGCGAGGTGCACCTGAGGAGGAGCTTCCTGGAGCCCGGCACCTACTGCGTGAACATCACCCTGGAGAACTCCAGCAGCATGGCGCTCGCCAGCACCACCATCACCATCAACAAGTCCCAGGATGCACCTGGTCAGCGACACACTAACACACACAAGTCAGGTTTTTTAAAAAAAAAATTTAAATTAGTTTTCACAATTTGCTCCTTTCGCCCGTTAGCGCCAAAGACCTCTAACAGCACGGGCGTGGTTCTCTCTTCGAGCGTTATTCTACTGGCCATTTTTGCTTTCATTGCCTATCTGGTCTACAAGTAGGTGGTCTTTCTACGCACCAGCATTCAAACCGTTCCATGTGAGAGTACGTTTTATATACAGTTTGTTTCCGTTTTATCTTTAAGGCGTCACAAGGTCTACCGGCCCATCCGAAGGTCTCTGGCGGAGAACGCCTGCACCAACTCCGGGGCCCCCGGCCCCATGGTCCGCCTGAAGGAGGCCCTCTTCCCCTCCAGCGAGGAGAGCCGCCACCTGCTGACCCAAAGGTGCCCCCTGTAGCTCAGCAAGAGCTGCATCCCAGTTCTCTAAAGCTAACAGAAAAGTGCCAAATCAGTATCAAAATTTAGTTTTAAGAAGTCGTACTAATCTCTCTTTTGCATCTCGATTGAGTTGTTTGACACTGTTGGCTTACAGTTGATCCATAACATGATTTACAAAAGCTGTCCTAATAGTGATGGCAGCTTTCACCCTGATGCCGTTGTACAACTGTCGCTGAGAACAGGGTTTTAGTCATACCAGTTTTTGTTTTTAAAGAAATATTTTGACTTGTGCCAAAGAATGCTTTGCAGCTATTCCCATGTTAACTAGAAGATTTTTTAACAAATTTCCACGAGCAAGGCATGTTGTTCAGCTGAGTGCATTGATGTGAACGCTTAACTTTGGAGGTCAAGTAGTTTAAATTGGTGGAAATCTAATAGGTGGAAACAGCATCTCTAATAAAGGTCGTCACTAACCACGTCTCGGTTGATTTGTCTGTGCTCCTCATGCCTTCACCAGCTTTGATTGCAGGTTCTCGTAGCTGATCATTAGATAAACACTTTGTTTACATTTTAAAAAGCTACAGAATAACAGTTTTCGTTCCTGAGGTTGAAGCTATTAAAATTAGTTCATTTGATGTCCCAGAAACCCAGGTGACACAAATTTTTCATGCAACAACATGTGCCCCTTTACTTAAGTTTGAAATATAATTTAAGGATATATTCAATGTATAATCCTAGAATATTTCAGTTGCAGCTTTTCTTCATTGAGTTTCAACCTGTTCTCCAAAGAACATTTCAAATGTACCATTTAGAAAAAGGGTAGATGCTAAAACTCAGATAAATGGGTGGAAAGGAAATAAATAATTTACACAAAGGCAGTTTCAAGTGGAAATTCTTTCAGAAGCCTTTGAAAGAATATTCGATGCAATTACCCATTCATGCATCCGTTGCAATAATAGACTTTTTGTACACATAAAACTTTATACGCACCATTTGATATAAATAGCCTACAAATACAACACTTTATAAGCTAGATGAGTCTTACCCAGTCACCCACATTTTTAAGAGTTCCAAGAGATCAAGAGTACTCGAAACTTAAATGCCAAAAACACAGATTTAATTTTTTTTCTTCTTTTTATTCAGAGGTATTTGACGAGTGGAGCTGTGTGTAAGGGGGTAGTGAAGGGGGCACAAGCATGGTTGCAGAGGGGAAGGAGGGAATATCATGCTATATTTTTTTTTAAAGGAAAAAAAGGAAAAAAAAAACAGATCCTGTCCCTCAAATCTGTTCCATACCAAGAGGGTGTTTCACATTACACAGCCAAGAAATGCAACAGAAGAAAACAGCTATCAAATCAGCAAGTTTAGCGTTGATTAAAGAAAAATAAATCAGGCCCTTCATTAAAAACTGTCATTTTCCTTTGTCAACTCTTGAAAGAAAAAAAAAAAAGGAGGAAAAAAAAGCCAAAGTTCAACTACATGTAAGCCACACAACCAAAAATAGAAAGCAGACAGAAATAACCATTGAGGATTTCAATAAAGCCAAAAGGAGTATATATGAACACTGGCAAAAAAAAACAAAAAAAAAAACATGTTTGATCACTTTTTGAATACTCAATCCTAAGGGGTTCACAATTTATGTGTTTTTATTCTTATCAAGGGAAGTGTGACGGTGGGGATAAAGTCCAACCCAATAGAAGAATGCCTCTACTTCAAATACGTGTCCAGAGAGGTAGATCAAAACAAAATGGAGCAGGGGAGGGGGGGGGGGGGGTTGGAGAAGGTGGGTTGGCAGGAAGGACGCATGGACCTGGGATATGTGCGGGGAAATTTTTTTGAAGTATCACTTGTGCCCCTCAGTTAAGCGTGGTGTTAGGAAGGCGCGCCCAGATAGAGAGAAGTGTTTGGGGGGATTGAGGTAACGTGCGCGCTTGCGCTCAGTGGGGGTGAGGCGAGGCGTCGCGTTTCACAACAAACCCCCCCCACCCCACCCCACCCCCTCAGCTGAGGTAGACGGCGTTCTACTGTGGAAGCATGGATACACTCAAGCACTTTTACCACAATCGACACATTTACATTCGGCATGGAAACAAAGAAAATAAACTTTTGGATTCCTTTCTCATGACTCAACCCCCCACCCCCCCTCCCCTCCATAGTCAGCATTTATTCACCATTTTTGTGTGGCTTTTGTTTATTTTCCCTGTACGCGACACTAAAACAAAGCTCTATTTGTGAGATATACAGAGAATGTCAAATCTTCTTCCTGAAGGGGGAAATAAAAGGAAAAGGTCGATGCATTTCAGCGTGTCTCCCCCAATCCTCATGCAGTGATTAACGTCGATTGCTCGGGCAACTAAAAGGCCTCACTGAAATGACAAAGCTTGTTCCATGAAGACAAAAGGACAAAAAAAAAAGAAAAGAAAAAAACAACAAAAAATACCTAGTTGGGTTTAGACCTTGCCAAAACAGCATTATCAAAAAGGGGGGAAAAGACCTGAAAAAGAAAAAAAAAAAAAAAAAAAAAAAAAAGCTTAGCCGACTACAACTGCTACAGGGAGGACCTGCCGCAGCCCACGCCGCAGCACCCTGACCACAGGCCTCAGAGGATGAAAAGGAAATTCGGACTAATGAAAGTACCATTACCGATGTCAATCACAAACTAAAACGGCATTGCTGTAAATATGAATGGTTGGCATCATTTGCATGTCGCAAGTTGTTTCATACGTTTTTTTTTTTTTTTTTTTTTTTTCCTCCTTCAAGAAGATGGTGGACCCTCAGGGGAAAAACTGAGGCAATTTTCTTGATACTCCTGTCAGCCGCCAGCTGAGGGGGCGCCAACTCTTGCTCTGGGGCTTCTATGTACAAATAGACTATATGTACAGGGTCATCTTAAGTCACGCATACACATGTACAAACGCCGCCTAAAGCACCAGAGTTAAAGGCAAGGTCAGTTGGCAGCTGACCAAATTTTAAATTTTCTTAAAAAAATAAAAATGTTCAAAGACCATCAGCTTTATAAAGTATACAAAATACCACAAAAGCAAAATAAAAAAAAAAGGAACATTTTCATATATATATATAATCATTTTTTCTCTTCTGAGGTACTAAGATCCTGAGGTAGTTAAGTAAAATGCATATTAAATTGATTTTTCTGAGCAGCAGCAGTTCGGCACCATTTTCCCTAAGTGTCAGTCATAGTGCTGCCCTCTAAATATATACTGATATTTATATAGATATATATTTATATAGATTAATCTATTTATATAGGTCTATTTATAAAATGCATCCGAATTTTTAAAAAAATGCCACTATCATTACAAGGGCAGGACGCCCGATATAATCCACCTTTTTTCGGGAGTCCTGACCTAAAACAAGAATCTTTCCCCTAAACATGGCCCACCCAACAAGAGCCAACCCTCCCCCCAAATAAACCTCTGTTAGTCCAGCTTGGACCAAGCAATGCCTTTTTTCTTTCCACAGAAAACTCATGAGAAAGCTTCAACCAATTAACTTTAATTCCTTAACAAAAAAAAAAAAAAAAAAGAAAAAAAAAAAAGAAAGAAAGCCTAAATGTGAAGTCAACAAAAACATCTCGTCATGTTTGAAGTACCAAAAGAGGCGAGAGGAGGTGGGGGTTTCCATTTTGTGTTTCTAGTGTAAAAGGAACTAAATTAAAACTAACACCTGTGGGGGTGGGGGGGGGGGGGGGGGGGGCGTACATGTGAGGGCAGGTGACACTGGGGGGAGCCCTCAGAAGTACATTCTCATAGGAGATGCGGAGGTGAGGCTTCAGAGGAGTGAAGTCTTTTTTTTTTTTTAAGTCGCTCAAATGTTCATCAAGTCAAAAAAAAGGGGTGGATGTTTGATTTGGTTTTTTTTTCTCAAAACCGTTGACCCCCTGAGATGAGCATCAGGACCTACTACTGCTGTCGCCACCCTCCCTGGACTCTGCTGCTTCAGTCCAGCCCGCCGAGTCTTCCGACAGAGTCCGGCACCGTTCCTGCAGGTTCTGCCGGACCTCTACTTCCTGCGGGGCATCGGGGGCTGGGCCCCGGCCGCGGGCTTGGGCTGCTGCTGCCTCCTCACCTGGGCCAGGATCTCCTGGATCTTCCGCTGAGCCAGCTGCGCGACGAGAGAAATGCGGGAGTCAAACACCCAGAAGTCCACTTTAAAAACGCGAGGCGCTGCTTTAAAGTGGACATTTAAGTCGGGTGGGACTCTGGTGACCCACCTGGCACGCAAAGAAGTGTCCGCTGATCTTCACGATGACCTGGTCGTTCTCGTCCGGAGTCTGGTCCCGGGGCACCACCACTTCAGCGCAGGTCAAGTTCTGCAGCTCATTGACCTACAATGAAGGGGGGAGGGGTTAGAGGTTGGAAGCTTCCGGCCTTCGATTTGGCCGGCGAGTGAAAAGTCGTTGCGTTTACCGTCTTTCCACCCTTCCCGATGACGCGGCCGGCAGCAAACGAGGGAACCTTGATGTGAGCCTCCAGCTTGACCTCTTCCTTGGGTCCAAAGAAATTCTCCTCTTTCAACTTACCAAAGATACGACACTGGGCCTGCATCCAAGCGAAACGTTCAATGAGATTAGGAAAGGAGACATTTCCCACTCAGTCTAGTGACAACAAGGGGAAAATGCAGCTTTGCTCCTTCTGTAATGCAACTAACTTGAATTCAAAAGCTAAAAATTAGCAAATATTACCTTAAACTGAGCCTCTGGTGGTCCAACAATGATGACCATCCTTTGCTTGGCATCCATTCCTTCTGCTGGGGCAATCTGACGGTGGGCACATGCGGCATTAAAAGACAGGAGCCATCATTTTTGCTGCCCGTTCCATCAACCGGAATCGTGTCATCGATATTTTGAAGCTTCCCTCCTGCCGGTCACTCACCTTGATGGAGGCTCCTGCAAAGTGTGACAGTTGTTTGATGTGTTGGCCCTGTTTTCCGATGATGGCTCCCACTGCAAGTGCAGGAATGAACAGGTGAACCGTCTCCGACTCGGGCTGTCCCTGCTGGGCACAAACATCTCAGCACTACTGTGATCAGGAGGGGATCACAAAGAAAAAAATAAAAGAAATAAAAAAAAACTGTAGGAAACCCACTCAGCTCCAGCCACCAATGAGCAAAAGCAGGCAGAGGATAAAGCACAGGTTTTCCCCAAACTCGATTTTTTTAAAGCTTGTTCCATCCTCTTGATACAAAACCACAATGTCCACTGAGATTCTCGTTTATCTTTTTAAAATGTTGACTTCTTATGTTGTTAGAAAAAGACTAATCTGGCTAAAGACCATCGGAAGTCACAATCTGACTCTGCTGCATGCATTAGACGCACATTACATTCTCCAAAAAGACAACAAAAATCAGCTGGACAGTAGTATATAGAAATTTAGCACTTGTGTCTATTGAAAAATTTGCTGACATTTGGTTTTAACTCCTTCAGTCATATTCAAATCTGGATCAGGGTTTTTGATTTTGATTTTAATTTCAACCATCATGCTGAACTACCCGGTAAAACGGAAAAAAAGCCAAACATTAAAGAGAAAGAAAGTAAAAAAACCCTAGGAAAATAGGCTCCATTTTCCAGAATTTTTTCACATTCTTCTACCCGAAAACACTGCATCTCTATTGCCAACAATGAACATTAGTTTTTTTTTTTGTTATTTTTTTTTTTTTTCAAACAGCTCAAACATACATTGACCGCGATGCTAACAGACACGCATCTCGGTCACAGTGCAAACCACATCCTGGCTTTTAAATTGTTTTTTTACATTAAAAACCTGCTTCATGAGCGCACCATCTTCCCTTCTGAACTAACCAACATGAATTTAAACGGCAAGCATGAGACCAAACTCGCGTTCCTGCTCGTTGGCTCTGTGCAATTCGAGATGCTGCTCGGCATCCTTTTATCACGGCACAACTGACATTTAACACATTGTGAAATCTGGCCGTGCAGCTGCCTTTCCTGTCCCCACAGTCACGTGGGAGCCCCAGAATGGAACAAGGTGATCATTTACACAACAGCACGCGTCAGGCAGACGTAAATGTTAGAGGCGTTTAAAAAAATTAAAAAAGTCTTTGGAACTTTATCGTAAATGCGAGTGCATTTGTGATTTATTTAAGTAGGTCAATGATGCCTGAATGGTTGACACAGTTATAGCTCATTGCACATAAAGCATTTAAAGTAAAAATTAAAATAAAAAATAAAAAAACTACTGATGCCCACGTTTCACCTTACTGAAGCCAATAGTGTCCACACCTTATAACTTCAGATACTAGAGCATCTCCCAAGCTAAAAACTTCTCCATCCACTTGATTGACTGTAAATCAATGGGTATCTGGAAGAAAACTAAAGCAATCCCAACCCCTGAAATCTTGCAGCGAGCAGCCAGGAGCCGTGCAAAGCTTTCGGGACGCGCAACTTACGGCGAGGGGCTGGCTGCTAGCCGACACCATAGAGGCCCAAAGTTGCCCCTCACCCCCATAAGGACTGCACTAGAGGAAAAAGGAAACATGAGACCAAGCTGCTCCAGGACTGATGTCCGTTTAGCTTTTTTTTTTTTTTTTTAAATGGCAATTTTTAAATGAGCCTGACCCAGGAATGCCCTATACCGGTTCTAAAGACTCGGCCCTGGGTTTGTGTAGTGCGCGGCGCGAGCCAAAGTGCATTAGAAAAAGTCACTTACTCCAAAAGAAGCACATGCCCCGTGGGCTCCAGGAGGGGGGACATTGGACATTGAAGGACCCATGCCTGCTGCTCCACTGGGGAACAAACCCAAAGCGTTTAGATTCAAGCCTGGAATCAGGTTGGATTGGAGCTGGAGAGGACAGCCAACATTTCTATTAATACAATTCACAAGCAATCATAAGGTTATTAAATATCACAGACAGTCAAACACTGCCCATGTCAATCTCAGTAAAAAAACAACTTATTGTCAGGAAAAAAAATTTAATGCAGCTATTCATTCATGATTTAATTCACGACAAATTCCATTTAAAAAAAAAATTAAAAATAAAGCCTTTCGTAACTTTTCATCTATTAACATTTTTCAGGAAATGAAAGCACGACTAGGGCAGTTCCATTTCCACCTCCCTATCGCTGTGCAGATGTTAGCCATCTGTCGTCGCTTCCTGACAAAAAGTGTCAGGCGTACGACCTTTCCTCGAGCTTTGCATTTCATTTTCACGCGCCGCGCTGCAAACGGGAGCTTACGTTCATGGCGGCCATGTCGCTGTCGTACGACTCCCGGACCTTCTTCATCACCTCTTCCTCCGCTCTTGAGCAGGCCTCAATAGCGCCCTTAACTGTGATGGTTCGCTCTGGGTTATACAAGGTGAGGTCCTGAAGACTGGAGAGGAGCGGGAAAAAAATATAAGTAAGAAAAGTCATTAATCAAAAATGACCCGCCCGCTGTCCCCTCTGGTTTGACCACAGATTAACAGTTTAAACAAGCCGGCGAGTCTTACGGTGATATTGTGATCTTGGTCCCCGTGTCCTGCTCAATTTTCTTTAGGTTGCGTCCTTCCTTCCCTATCAATCTTCCCACAAAGTTGTTGTGCGCGAGGATCTTCAGTGGGATTTCCTCAGTGCTGTACAACAAAGTACCAGAGTCACGCCTTCCACAAACACTGGATATCATGATGCACCGTAATTTAATCAATCCCCCGATACGATCAGTCTAAACTGGCCCGATTCCTCCTACAATGCTGCATCACCCGAGACCACAGGTCTTTACAGTTGTCCCAAACTAGCCAACAGGGAGGGACAAAAAGCAACAGTCTTTGACCAAAGCCGTTCCTTCCTGTGTGTCATTTGTTGCAGATCATGTCAAAATGACCAGGCAACAATCTCATAAACCTTTGAAGAATTGGAGCGTGGGCAATGGCTGAACCCATCGCATTTTTGGTGCGATTCCAGATCCCTTTTTCCAGTTTTTGAATTAGGGGGATCGGTGTTCTCAGTCTCCTCGGTGTCCTTGTAATGAAACGGCCATTACGGCAAAACAATTGACAGCTTCTGCTTCATTTAGACAGTTTCATCCCCCATCGTTTTTATTATCAATTCATTTAAAGCCTTTTAAAGTCTGTTGACCTTCATCCCCAATCACAAAGCTCTAGGGATAAAATTAAAGGAGGTCCAGGTTCGTAAATTACCCTCCATTTTGACCCTATCGTAACAAATGATTAGCTCAAAGATGTGTTCTAAAGTATGGCTGCCTGCCAGAGTTTCGTATTTTGGTAAAAACTCACAACTTGGTGTCTACGGCTTCCTTCTGCATGATCTCCATGATGGTGCTACAAGCCTTCGAGCAGCCCTCGGGAGTCGAGTGGATGGTGATCGGCTTCTCCGCCGCGCCTGCGTTTTCTTTCCTGTGGATGTCAATCCTGGAGCGGGGAGATTGGAAACTCAGTTTAGCCCGAACAACCCAAAGACAAGCAACAACTCTCCAGTCCTCCGGCTACGCACTTTGAATGTGTCTGCTTGGTGATGTTGCGGATTGTGGCGCCCTCCTTGCCGATGATGGCGCCCACAAACTGCGTGGGCACCAGCATGCGCAGCGGGATGTCCGACTGCATTTTGGGCCTCGCCCCCAAACCCGGAGAGCCAGAGCGAGGCGGCCCGCGGGCGTTGAACCCTCTCCTGCCCCCTGCTGAGGGACCCTCCGGGGCGGCCGTCTCATCGGGGATATAAGACACTTTCAAGGCATAGTTCTCCATCATAGAGCCGTTCAGCTTCTCCATGGCTCTGGGGAAAAGTACAAAAATGGCTTATATTTTACGGTAGGAAGCTTGAAGTCAAGTTTAGTCTCCTAAGGGACAACTGTTACCTATTAAAACTGGTCTAAAGGAAAAAGAAAATCCAATTGACTAAACAAAAAAGTGTCAAGTTAGGGTCACCACAATAGAGGGGGAAAAAAAGTACCTACAAAGAACTGATTTATTCCCAATAATTATTCATGAGAGCTCCAAAAAACCCTGGGGTAGAGCACTGCAGCATGATTTATGTACACCAGGGGGCACCAGAAGGCCAATTTAACCCCCTCCACCACACACACACCCCTCAGTGATTTCATGTTGAGCTATAAACAGCTCTGGAACAGGAAATCAATCACTGTAAAACCACAAAAATCAAGGATTATAGAGTGACCAATGCAGAATGAAAGGACGTGTTTAAGTAAAAGGAAAAGAAAAGACAGATAAAGCAGCACAGTAGATTCATAAGAAACGCAAATGTGTGTGTGTGTGTGTGTGTGTGTGTGTGTGTACTCGTGTGTGCACTCACAGTCTTGCCTGGTCCTTAGCTGCATAGCGAACATTGACTACTGCAGTTTCCGTATCAGTGTTTACTGTGGGAGAATAATGTGTCAGTTCCCGCCAACCCAATAACGCCAAGACACTTCACACCGGTGTATCCTTACAATCTTTACTTGTTGTTTTCTATATTCATTAATCATGCAGTAAGAAAATATGGTGCAGACTTTCTAAAAGCATTGGCGAACAGCTTCTGGTAGCCCAGTAACTGAATTACATTTCAACAGTTATTGCATCAAAGCCGGTTTGGTCCATTTACCTTGTTCACAGCTCTCTACTGCACCATATTGCGCCAGCATACCATCCAAAACCTGGAAATGGAAAAGGCAAAAAGAAATAAATGATTACTTTGTGACTTTGACCCGAACCTGTTGATGAGAGGAAGCTTTTCCATTGAGGGAGTCGGCCAAGGGCCCAATTAATTCTCAAGCCAGTTTAATTTTGAGCTTTGCCTTTCAGGCAGTCTTGTAAAAATAAATAAAATAATTAAAGCCAATGACCACAGGACAATTTCAGCACTGGGTGTTAAGACTATTTAAAGCAAAATGCCCTCTAAATAGAGTAAAAACGGTCTTCCCAATAGCTACAAAGAAACCATTTTTTTTTTTGCTACGTAGGAGACGGCGACAAATCTGAAGACCAAAGGATTTAAATGTAAAGATGTGATCACATGTGAGCGAGAGGGGGAGCAGGATTCCAAGCAAAGCTTGGACCTCTGACCATTCTCAGCTGAAACCAGAGCCACACCCCCAAGAGCTCAAGCCCACTTTCTAGCCAACAAGAGCACACCCCCTTCCACCCACACCTCCCTGGCTCGACAAAACCACCAACCAAACAACCTCCGCCTCCCTGCCTCCTCCACTCCCCATCATTGGCTGCTCCCGCACTCTTACAAGTTCCCTAAAGCCAAGCCTCGTAGGCCGCCGGCTGGCTCCTCCGCCCGTCCATCTGCCGAACGGGGCCAATAGAAATCCAGGCCATTCAGGAAAGGGTGGGGTACATTCCAGCAGGAAGCAGCGACTAAAGGGGGAGGGGTATGAGTTCATGCTACACATTCTGTGAATCAGCAGAGCACATGGAGGGGAAGGGGGAAAAACGGCCAGCCAGGGGCCCACCCACCCCGGGCTCGTGAACACACCACTTCTCAACCATTTAGCCGTAGAGCTAGCCCAACAGTGGCCTGACGAATCAGACGCCCAATAAAAGCTACATGCCGGGGCCCCAGCAGCTGAAGATCTCACTTTGTTTTGTCCCTCAGTTTCTTCTGAACCTTCTCTCTGCAAAAGGGAAGGGGTAGGGGGGGGTGGGGGTTGGGGGTGGAGGAAGATCTCCATGTTACGTATTAAGAGAACAAATAGCCGGCTGGCTACATACAAAGAACATGGAAGGATCTGGAACTGCAGCTAAGGGAGGACGAGCGGAAGCCCAAGCGAGTGCATCTCGTCAAAACCGAGCTGCTGTGGCCATGTGATCAGTTAGGGATTTAGCTGCAATTTTAAACCAAAAAAAAGAAGAAAAAAAACATGAATTAAGCTGAAGATTTTTGGAATGTCAATCACTTTCTTTCCTTTGGCTCCCTTTGCATTTACGAAGCATAAAAATTTGCCTGAATCCTGCAAGCAAGCACATGTCGGAGCCAAACGTCTACATGATTTGAGTTAGACAGATAATTCTTAAGCTGCATTTACAGCAATTAATGCATCGCCATCTTTATCAATACACACGCTCACAGATTGGTCAAAGCAGAATAAGTGCTGGATGCTAAATACACAGGTCAACCCCTTCTCAAATGCACAGAGTATACACAAGGCAAATGCACACCACTGTCCACTCAGCTTCTCCATTCATTCCACGCCGACCATGAAATTTGGCCCTGTCACAGCTCACCAACTCAAAAGACACAGGACTGACAATGGCAGCTTTTCGTCAAATTAACTCTTAAAAAAGGTCAATTAAACAAGTGGCCGTGTATGGCGCTCTGTGCATTTCACCACTACCTAAATTCTCTGCAGAAATATCCAACAAAAATTACCAAGAGATAAGGGAGATCAATCCAAGGTTTTCAAAAAACTAAATCTGAGTGGACAGGACAAAAATCTGTCTTTGTGTGACAGCATAATAAACCTTGATAGCTTCCAGAAATTTACATTAACAGTATGAGATACAACTTTTTTTTTGTTTTTTGTTTTTTAATCATGGCAGGGTACCCATTCATCACAAGTATGCCTTTACATTTAGTTGGAATTAAGCACCATAGACACGAAACCTTAAAGACTCCACTTTTTTTCCTTTTTTTTTTTTTTAAATGGGTCCTGAAAAAGGATCACATTAATTCATAGAAGAAAAAAAGGCAATTCTTTGTCAAAATGTAGCCATTTTTAAATTCACCAATATGAAAACTAATGGAAAACTAACAACTGAAAGAATACACCATACAAAAAAGGGACAGTATGAGTATGAGATTGGCCAAGACAAACGTCTCCCTCACAAGGTCATTTCACAACCGGTCACTCTTATTTTATCGTTTTGTCGATCATGTTTATTTAAAAGGGAACAAGTTGTATGAAAAGTAAATTTTTTAAAAATTAAAATAACTTGATGAGTGTCGAAAGCATTCAAATAATATGTCAAGCTGCCCTTCAATTCCACCAGCTCATGCGTACTGTTAGACGGACAACAATCCTGATTAATTCAGATTATTTTACTAGTCTTAAATAAGAAAAAAAAGGTAGCCTAAACACACAACTAATGCCACAACAGAAACATTCCAAATATCATCCACAGATTTTGCCTCAAGTAATCCCCCACCACAACAGTTGTGATGAGCGCTTGTATTAATACACATCGTGCAACACGGCGTGTATTAATACGTCTGCCGTCTTCAAATGTCTTCAGTCCAGTGACATCCTTCCTGATTCAAGCTCGGGCCACTTTCCTTCTAACTGAGGCTGCACTGGTCAGATGAATCACTAAGCACATGCTCAATTGAAATACAATTTCTTTAAATCATTTAGAAAAAAAAAAAAACCTACATTTCACAGGTTTCTAAATGGGAACCCAGTTGTGTTGTCCCATAATGCCCCACCCTTTAAACGGTTAGCAGCCCGTTAGCACTCACCTCCCACTGCATATGAGGCGGGATGTTTCTGATCTGCAGCTTACAGCTTCTGGAGATGCAAGAAAGAGGGTGGGGAAAGGAATTGATGGGAAAGAAGAGAGGGAGAAAGCCAATAGTCAATACAAATGATCAAGCAAATGAGTGAAAACCACAAAAATAGTCATTTAAAAAAAAAAAAAAAAGAAAATACACATCATGCACACATCTGTACGTCTGCCATCATCCACTTGGATAATAGTTCCTTCTCCCCCTTTGGTGGGCAATGATACACAGAGAAACCGTTTATACAAACCAAAGTTAGATGAGTGCTCAAAATCTGAATCAAGCTTTAAAAAGGAGTAAAGGCCACCCCACCACACCCTTCCTTCTCCCACATCAACTGTGTCACACAGCACAAAGACTGAGATGTTGACAGAACACTGCAGCGGGATTCATGGCAGACAAAAGGACTGAAAACTGGGAAAGATACCATTCCAGTACCACACAAAAGTACACATTTGGGAGGAAAAGCGTGTGCCCTGCACGACTAGATCGTGATGCGTCAATCGCTGCGTGGCTTAGGCCCCGCTCCCCTCAGCCCAAATAGACATTTGTCCAGGAGCAGCCAGCTGTTGTACCACAAAAAAAAAAAAAAAGGGAGACAGAGAGGAGGAGGTGGTGGTTCCAAAAGGCCTTCAGAAACTGACAGGAATCTAAGCTGGCTGGGTCAGAGAGAGTTAAAAAAAAAAAAAGAAAAAAAAAAATCATTTGCTTGTTCACAGAACATGCATACAGCTGAAGCGAGAGGAGCCCCGGCACTACAATGGTACTGCTGTGCTCCGTCACCAGAAACTAGTACAGAAATCCCCAATTCATTCCTTTAGCATTAGGGTTCCCCGTGTCATCGGTTTTGTGAACATGAGTACACACCGGCTTTGTATGTGGGTTATGAAGACAATGGAACCTGCTGAGGATCAATGGGCGAGTTTCACAAGTGTCAGACTGCATGTGGTGTTTGCATTAAAAAAAAAAAAAAAAGTTAGTAAACTGCAGGCCACTCCAAAGTCCAAGCCTCCTAACACAGACTTAAAGGAACAAAATGTACATATAATTGTGAGCTTGAGCATGAAAACACAGAACCAGACCTTGACCCCAAACTATTCCCACTATCAGCCGTACGGCCACAGCACACATTGTGTAGCATGTGCACTTTATGGCTGCTCGTCTGCAACCATTTGACACAAACGTAATCCTCAAGAGTCCTGCGGCAAAGTTTAACCCCTCTTACGGGACGGCCACATGCACCGGCCGCTTTACAAAAAATCTCAAATAAATCTCAGAAGCACCAAGTAACCCTTCGCACCATTAATCAGGAGTGAATGGGTGGAACTGGAGGAGAAACCAAAATTGTTACAAGTCAATTAAAGTTCAGTGCCTGCGTAACACAGAAGCTGAGATGTAGTTTTGCCAGCGCATACATTCAAGGCTGAACGGTTCAATAGAACAAAATTGGACATTAGGAAACGACTCAATTCTAAAATGGACAAAACTAAAGAAAAATTCCAAAATAACTTCCAACAGGAATTTCAACCCTTTCCGGCCCACTGTGCCATTCCACTTCTCCCCACTCATTCCAGCTACCCTGCATTGCGGTGGGAACGCCACGCCAAATGTGCAAGTGCACAAACTACTTCCAGTCGGATTAACCTATAGCTCCACACACACACAGACACACACACACACACACACACACACACACGGGGTGTATATGGTGAGGTGGGGGTTGTGGGCGGTATACATTCCTGGTCTCAGTCTTTGATTTGGGGAGGTGTGTGTACGTGTGGGGAGTGGTATGGACGGTGGGGGGTAGCCCTGTTTCAGGCGAGGGTAACAAGGGCCCTCTCTGCCCTGTGGGGGTGGGGCCCTGTTGCCATGGACACAGGCCAGTCCACTGACAGGAACATGTAGAGCAGGGTTAAAAGTGGGAGGGGACAGGGACAGAGGGGAGGCCCAGGAGTTACTGTGGCTGGCTGGTCATGTGATGGCCAGTCTCCTTATTTACTTTATCTTTTTTTTTTTTTTTTAAATAAAGAGGGGGGGGGGCAAGATTCTACATATTCGTCCACAACCACCAGGGTGAGACGTATGGGTGTGCACAACAAAGAACGTGCATGCATACGTGTATACACACACACAGAACAGCAGGTATAGCACCTGTGTTCATCTCCATCTCAGAAGAATTCACTTCCCATCCACAGCGTGGGACTCCTCAGCTAGTGGAGGTTCTGAATGACACACCACCATCTTTTCTACCTGCTTACGGTTCACCAAAATCCTGACGGCCAGGAACCAGAACTCAACTCGCGCAGAGGTCAGCTCAGCTTTGGGTCAGCCGCACCCCGAGTCATTTTAAAAAAGGTAAATTCCCCTTCAGCGAAAGTCAAACGAGGGGCCACCTCCCCAAAACAATCCCGAGTCACAGGCGGGGCACCACGTTAAACCCACTGTCTGGAATTAGTCATTTCTGGAGAAAAAAAAACAAATCTCCACTGTCTGCTGGAATAAAGAACAAGAACGCAAATAAAACAAAAAGGAACCTCAAACTTTACACTCACACTGAAATCAAAACAGAATTCTGCCGCGCACACCTCTGAAAACACCATGTATGGGCTTCACTACAAATGGGACCATCCCTCTTTTAGCCTTGTTGTTTTTTTCTTCATCTGCACAAGCCAAACATGCACACAATCATCAAGCTGCATCTTCTTGTGCTCAATTTACCATAAATTAATAACTTTGCAACATCCACCATGAGGCAGAAAAAAAAACTGAAGCAGCAAAAAAAATAAATCAAATGTAATTAAAACAAAAAAAGTTTGATAAGTAGATGCATCAAGAGGACTCTCAGGAATGCTTGACCCCCCCATACCACCACCCCCCACTGGAAAATGTCCATACGTTCCACAGAATGTAAAATAAAATGAGTGGTGTCATTTTGAACCCAAAAATAAGTCAAATATAAAAATGTATACAACTAGCTCAACACAGCACAATTGCTGTGTAAATAACTTCCTAAAACATTTGCAGAAAATGGTTCAAATGCATCAATACTATACACTTGGTTAAAATATGATTTGTTTGGATTTTTTTGGTTGCTTTTTAACCATTCCTGGCTACGACAGACCATCACGTATGTGGCCTTTAAAACCCACGTTCAATTCAAGGGGATTTGAGCCTGAATCCAAATTTCTGGACAGGATGTGCTCCGTCCGGAGTGAGCCGCCACGCTTTTTCAGCACGTCACACTACACATTCCTATCTTTATGAACCCCACAACAGCAGCCACCCCATCTTGATCCCTGTCTGCTTTAGCACTTCCCCTTCCTGATGAGTTCAAAGGTTAGGCCGTGGTGATTGGCCAAGCCTCCAGCTGAAATTCACAGGGACTGGAATGCAAAGAGGGGGCCCCAGCACACACGTCTGAGGCTGTACTGACTATAAGGTTGTGTTCATGCTATGTAGGGAGGGTGTGTTTTACTTTTTTTTTTTTTCCCCTTCCCCTTTTTGCGATTTGGTAAAAAAAAAAAAAAAACTCCACTCTGTTGCTGCAACGCTGCAGGGTGCACGAAAAAAGACGCCAACGTCACAAACGTGCCCTTACGTTGAGTGCTTTTGGAAAAAGGCGTAGAGATTTTAAAATGCTAATATTCCCATCGAGCCAAACCGGTTCATTTGTTGACGCTACAGCGAAAAACAGCCACCCAGCAGCTGGGCCCCCAAAAAAGCTCTCATTGTGTACAAAACAGGGAAATAAACTCCACGTCAACAACTCAATAATTACTTATGGATGCTCCGTGTTTTTTAAATTTTTTTCTTAAAGTATTTTCTAAATTAATTCTAGCCACGGTTATCAGTTTAAAAAGTCGACGTCTTTCGCCATTACTTTGATTTCAAATGTGACTTCACGTTTTACGCAAAAAAATAAAATAAAATTACACATTTCAACCAGAAGTCCCCCAAAAAGCTCAGATGTATTTTCTAAAACGGCACATCTTGCAAATAACCGCACAGATACGTTTACATTTCCCTAAAATTAAATAAAGCGGACTGTTTGCGAACCAAAATTACGCACGTAATCTCCAACTCACAGAATTTTACCTCCACGGCACAGATTACGTTTTGCCAACACAGGTGAATTATTTGACACCTTTTTTTTTTTTTTTAGCCCTGAAGCGACCTCCCAGTGTCGTTAGTGGGGAGTCTAGCTTCAACAGAGAAGGTTTTTTTTTTTTTTTTCGTGACTTGGGCCCCAAACCTCCCATTCCACTCGCGTTTGGGAGTCCATCTCACGCAACAGCGGCACAATGTGCAGAGGAGGGCGGAAGCGCAGGGGCAGGCAGGGAGAATGACGGGCAGATCCTTCTCAAATGGACGACTCCACAAGGCCTGCACGCCTCAAATCGAGCCTGCGACCCGGGGCTTGGCACATTTCGGCCCCTTTTTTACGCCGAAGTGGCTCGCTGTGCGCTCCGGGCTCGACTATAGGGAAACAATGGCTGCATGCACGGATGAGATGTGTGCGAGCATGTGCTAAGTTCACTTCCATGTAGTTTTGAGCCAGTCTACTGTCATGGCGAGAGGAGGGAGTGCAGCTCGCCACCAAACGCCCCTTATGTTTGACCTGCTGCTTTCAGGACGAAAACAGACCCCATTAACCAAAAATATTTGGAGTTAAGTCACAAATAAAATCACCACTAAATTAGGAAACACTGAATGACAAACTTACACTGTTTGTCGTGTTGAAAATAAATAAATAAATATATTTATATGCAGAAAGTGGCTAGGGGGGGGGGGGTGAGGGGGTGGGGGGGGGGGGGGGGCTCCCACAAGTTGAACCAAGACTAGTTAATAAACCTTGACCTACCTTTGACGTTTAGGCACCGAGTGCTCCACTTCGAGAACTTTCCCATGAAGTTCTACTTTACCTACAAGAGAAAAACTACATTTATTCATTATTTTTTTTAAATCACACATGCCCTGACCCAGGCCTCCTCGTGTTTAGTGGAAATAACAGAAAAGCACGATTGACTTTAAGCTTCTTGCCAAAGAAAGCTTTTAAAAAATTAAATGTGTGTAAAAAAAAATATTTAAAAAGCTGTCTGGATTTTAAACAGGGTTCAGTGTACGAGCCACAAACAGCACGAGGACACAACTGAGCCTGGCGTTTGGCAAATTCGAAAGAAATGACACGAGTTTGGCTAAAACGATACGTCTTTCCTATAGGAGCCGGTCTTGGGTGAAATAAACAAACACACACAAAAAAACACGCTGAAGAAGACATCCACAAAAGCAGATTGTGGTGTTGTAGCTCTGGTGAGTTGGCCTACATTTTGACCAGCACAATTAAACCACCTGGTGTGTCAGTATGGGCGAAAAGGCTCCATGGTGGAGCAGGCGGTGGCAACAGGAGAAGCCGAATTCACAGTGAAACTACTCAAATAAATTAATACATTTATTTATTTATTTTAAAACCCCAACAACACCCTGGCCCACGGTGCCAGGGTGAGCCCACAACAGGGCTCCCTGCTCGGCGCTGACTGTGCGTCCTGAGCCCCGGAAGCCCCACGGTCCTGGCCACTCGACCATTTCCAAATCAAGCCACACACACAAGTGAAATTACAAGGGGCGAGAATTTCCCTGAGACCCGGTGGAAGCCATTTGTCTGAGCCCACGGTGCCAAAAGGCCAAGTAAAGGTTGTGTGAGAGAAAGAGACGCTTTGGATACACCTCCCTCCCCCCCTCTACCCTCCACCCTACAGAACTACATGCGTTTCTCTCAGGGGCCCTGAACTATGGTAATCTTGTCAATTGCACCAGTTTCTTGCGTATTTTGTAATTCCACTTTCTCTAACCCCCTCACCACCACCACCCCTACCCCTCCTCCTCCTCTTCCTCCCGCAATTGCTTAAAACATTCTCACCTGAAAGAATATCGATGGCCCTCATTGCAGCTTTCTCGTCCGGGCAATCCACAAACGCATAGCCAGTTTTGACGAGAAATGGACCACTGTGCGGAATCTTCCACTGCTCAAAGATACTTTCGAAGTCCTCCTCGCTCGCCTCTGCACTCACGTTGCCAATGTATAGCTTATTCATGTTCTATGCCGAAAAGGGTCAACCTTTACGCGGAGGGGAGAGGCAGATATTCGCTCTCGCGGATGTGCAGAGTTTAGAGTAGCCCAAATCGCCTTTACTACTACGGAGTGGCTGTGGCGTGCTTCCCGGTCGTTCAAGCCACAGATAGATTTAAACTGGCAGCCTCACAGTGCGTTTGCGCTCCCTCGCCCCTCAGTCTATCGCGCAATAAATAAATGCTTAATTATTAATCTCGTGTCTCCAAATAATGGCGGGCTGGGTGAAAAAAAAAAGGAGGAGAAACTACTTTGTGTCTTCCTCCAAACCCGTTGGCAAAGAGACAGAGAATGTCACACACGGTAAGGCTGGCGCCCGCCTCTAAGTCTAGAGCCTAGAATAAGAAGAAGAAGAAAGGGGAGGAAAAAAAATCCGCTGCTATTCCGGCTTTTTTGAATGAGCCACGTGTTCAAACTACAAATCAGCCCACACGTGAGGAATCCCAATTGCTCAATTAAGTGTTTGGGATTGGGGAAAATTGCACGGGAATCTGGGGTGGGGACAGCAAAGGGGAGTTGAGAAAAAAAGGACGGGAAGAGTGGATTGGTGTTGAGGGGGGGGGGGAAACAAAAAAAACCTGGCGAGCTATGTGCGTAAAGGGATTCCGTGAGAAACTAGTGTATCTTTACTGGAATCACATTCGTGTCTTTCTCTGCAATGTCTCGATTCTCATTGGTCGGCCCAGGAATAGTAAAACGGCAGTGCGCGCGCGCACGCCCATGAGCGAGCATGGAGACGCCGTGCTGGGGCTCGTGCGCACGGCTGTACCAAGTGCGCGGTACTGATGATACAGTTGAAAGAAAAAGGGGGTGGGGCCATTCATATAAGATGTTTCTATATTGTTCCGTTGCGTTATGGGCGCATATGATTTGGAGTGTTTCGTCTCTTTGGGAGGGCCCCCACGCCACTCCGTGGGCCCCTTACGCAACGTGGTAGTGACACGTACTACTGCCCACATGACGGCATCCATCTTCTCCAGCAAGCATGGAGCCGTGCCCTCTCTGATCCATGGCTCAAAGTCCAGCAGCAGGCCCCACTTTACGCGTGCCCACGCAAAAATAAAATTTAAGAAGTTCTCCTCGAGCGGCGTGGATGCTATCACGCCACTCGCGTGCTCTCAGAATATCCCAGCATGGCGTTTGGGCGCAACGAGGAAGCCGCGTAGGGCGACCACACAAAGCGCATCTCCTTTTTCTATACCTCCGGCGTGAGTTTGAATTTCCTGGAGGAGGGAGGGGTCTTCCACACCAGTGTGCCCCTAGCGTCCCGTGTAAGGCGTAGAACCAGTTCCGTAACGTGTGGAATACTTGCGTAAAAATATTACGCAACTTTCAGAGAGGTTTATTTTTTTGGTTGTAAATCAAGACAAGGGATGCGTGGGTCACTTTGCATACAGTGTCCGTGTTTACTGATCAAACGAGAACCCATCATCGACTTGTTGATGGCGAAAGGTCGCTAGGATCAAAGCAGAACTAGTTTTTTTTTTTTTAACAACTGAGGCCCCATCAGGCAAATTTGTGCAAAAGGTCATGTCTACAAATGGCCTCCGGGGAGTTCAAACTTTGACAGAACTAAAGAAACGTGTCGTGATCCCCTAAATAGACGTAATGCATCCTTACACCGGTTGTTGCATTTGGTGGTGTTTACATCAGGCGGCATCTTGGGCAGCTAAACCAAGCTGCTTTACACCAATCTGTGTTTACCTGGTACCAGGTCTAATTCCTTTGCCGAATGCAAATATGGCCTCCAAAACGTTATAGTCCATTTTAGTTGTCAGCAGAAAACAAAAGTTGTGAAGGTGTTGACATCCAAACAAAATAAATACCTCTGTAAATCCATTTTGAGAGAAACCTTTCATTGACATAAACACAACACTTGCATATGCTATATAAAAATGTCACATTGAAGTTATCTGGCTTTGAGGGAGTGTAAAACTGTGTATACATGTGCTCAATACACATATTCCGGGTTGAAAGTGGAGCATATGGTGTGCCCCTATTGTGAAATATGGTTATAGGGAGCAACAAAATTGCGATAATAGTGATGTGATTTGTCATATATGGTTCAAATTCACCCAAAACTGGCTCTTTAGGACTAACGATAAAGAGTTACACAACGTGGTCAACTGTGACCTCGTTGGTACCCAAGATCCATAAAAGCTGCCTTAAGTCTGAAGAGTTGGGAAATGTGTTGTGAAGGTGAGTTTTGCTGTGCGGCCAGCCTCAAACCGCCTGCGTTTCCAGCCCTTCTCTGAGCTGAGACGGTCGTTCCGCGTCCCTGCAGTGTTTGCCGATGAAAGGGTCAAGAGGTGAGCACGCTCACGGGAAGCACGTTACAAAGGGAGTGTTAGTTTAGTGGGCCCTTCAGTCCCTGGCTGTGACCGGGGCCATGGCAGAGCTTCGGTGGGTTCCTCCTTTACTGCTGAGCAAACACACCGGGGCCCCTGATTGGCCGGGAGGCTCGGCCAATCGGAGAGCGGCAGACCTGTTCCGTACGAGTGCTGCCGGCTCGGCCTCAGCGCGCGCGCTCATTGGCTCCCCGCCTCGACGATTCTATACGAATGAGCGCGCGCCAACCGCGCGCGTTTCTCCCCAAAGTTGGCTTCGCTCGCCTTTGTCGCGGAGCTTTAAGACGGAACGAAACGCGAAACGGTCACCGGACCCGAGGCGTTTTGTCCTAACGGTTCCTCAATATTTCAGCTCGTGCCTGTTCAATTGACATCAATGGCAGGCTGCTTTAACTAGGTCAGCTGGAAGGAGAATTAAATATATAGTCTAACTAGGGGCTTCACAACAACTCCCCGACGAGTTTTGGTTATCTTCAATTTTTTCCAAAAGTTTCAAACCCTGAAAAGTTCACTCCGAACTTTGTAATCAATGATAAAATTAAAAATAAACCCACCCCGCGTGGGCTTTCAAATGGAATCCACGAGGCGTGGGCGCTTTCCGTTGGCTCTGCCCGGCGTATACATTTCTTTTATTTACAGAACAATTTATTTGGCACCAATGATACCCACGGGTAAATGGAAATAACGAAACGCACGCGGAAGAGCCCCCCCCGCGCGTGAGCCCCCACCCCCCCCTCGCCTGCTCAACTTTGTCTTAGCCGATTTGGCTTTTTTTGCGTAACAGTCGTACGTATAGAGAGGCGGCCATGTGAGTCCCGCCCGGCTCTGTCGGTTTAAATGAACTGATGCATGGCTGACACTCTCTGTGTGAGTGTGTGTGTGTGAGTCTGAGTGTGTGTGTGTGTGTGTGTGTGTGGCTGCTGGCTCTGCAGGAGGAGTAGTGAATGTATCGCTGAGGAATGTACAGAAAGTCTCCCCGCCCCCCCAGTTTCAGGAGTCCTCGCTATGGATGAATTCCATAGGGGGCAAAACTGACATAAAGTTTCAGACTTAGAGCAGATTGCTGCGTTTCAATTGCCAGTGGAAAGGGGGAAAAGCTGGGGGCAAAATCTGTCTTGTTTCAAGCACAATCTTGGATATTCCTAGACGAAAAAGACCAAGAGAGGAAAGGGGGAGGTAGATGGTTGGAGCTAAAACGCAGCTTATAGCCCAACTTTGAGATGTTTTTGGCCTCGCTCCAAGATATACGTCGCCAAGCCTCTTTGACAAAAAAAAAAAAACCATAAAGCTGCAGTGAATCCGGGGATTCTGTTTTTTCCGGTGAGATGACCTTTTTTTTTTTCTTTTGCATTTGAATGATCGTTGACTATTCCTAGTCTTTTTTTTTAACAATGTTTTCTCTCCAACTTGGGCTTTCACCATGAAACCCAGCGGCTGACCGCTTCGGACTGTCAGGAAACACTGGGGGAGAACGCCATGTTGAGGAGAGCCTCACAGCCAACATTAACTGATGCAGGCAGACCTCCATGCGCATGCAACTCCTCTTTTTTCTGTTGCTCCAGACATATGTTTTCCTTATTCCCCTGGAAAAGGTGCTTTCACGCAGCCTCCAGAAAGTAACTGGGTGGGAAAGGGGAGAGAGGATTGGATGTGTTTTCTCAGATTCTTGCTGTAGGATGACACCCTCCATCTCATCAGAAAATGGCGGTTTGTGCCCCCTCAGAAAAACATGCCTGGGACTAGTTTCCCCCTTTAGCAGCAAAGAACGAGTTCATTCTGACTGGTAAACCACCTTTTAAAGAGCAAAGAAACACCCCAGCTAATTCTTCTGATAATTTTGATAAGCCACACGGTTGAAGTATGTTTAGGTTTTGTTGTTTTCTCGTCACGTGTGCTTTGTCTCACTCAGACGTAACTCAAATCCCAGGAATCCGAGTGGAAATCTTCAATTAGGAACTGATACAAAGATAATTAAAAAAGGAACTCCATGGGAGAATTTTTTATAATTAAATATCTGCTTCTATACATATATACAAAATTGTATTTTGTTGTTTAAAACTCTTTAAATGTCCCCCCCAAAACTGTTAACAGCGTAAAAACGTAACCGTCACACAACAGTTCTTTTTTCAGTTTTTAATTGAAGAATTACATATATATCTAGAAAAATATATATATCCGTTTTTTTACACACATACGTACACACAAACACAATGTAAAGTTATTTTAATAGCTCTCAATTTGGTCAAATTTCGTCCACACTTTTTTTTCCCAGCAGGATGGCGCGTAAAAATAATTCTGTGCAAATTCAGGTTAATTTTCTTTTTCACAAGTTCAGCCAAACCGTGTTTCAGTCTAATAAACATCCTTTGATCTGGGTTTTTTTTTGTGATCTCAAGATAAGGGTGTTTTCCCCTCTTGTTGGCTATTTTTGCTAAGATTTACACCCCACGCTCAGAGTGCAACAAAAGCTGGATGGCGGTGTGTGTTTTCACGCACAGTCACACTGAGACTTGCACTGTGGCCACGCGTTTGCATGTGGCTCTTGTGTTTTCTTCTTGCAGGAAAACTTCCCTTGTGGCTGCTGCTTGTTGTTGTTGTTGTTGTTTGCTGGGTTTCTGCTCCTTGATGGATTTGTTACACTGAGATTTGTGAGCAGGAAAATGTTTCCCTCAACGACACGAAAGCAATCAGCTCCTGCAATGTTCTGTTGCTTAAAGTGGGAAACAGGGGCTTGTTGGGCTCCAGTTTTTTCCCCACACTTTATTTAAAATTCAATTATATTAACCATAAAATAAAGTGCTAAAATAAAGTGGTTTGTTTAACTTGGAATGGACTCTAGTATAATTTTTTTTCTAATAGAAATATAGGTGTTCTTTACTTGAGAACATTGAATATTGAAGTAAAATTGTTGAGGGGATGAATTTGATGATTCTGGTGCTGAATTTCAATTAAGATTTACAGATGATTTACATTGGATTGGGAATTTTGAAACAAACCAGCCTAATTGGATCATTTCCCTCTGTATGTTGACTGAAATGAATTTGATGGTATCAAAATTTGCAAAACATTTCTGAGCTGACAAAGTTAGCATATAATGAATAATGGATAATGAATTACCATTTTACGTTGACACAGTTTAGCATACAGCTTCAGGAAGTACATCTGCCAGTTTGTTCATCATTTGCACAAATATCTAACAAA